GTGTAAGGAAGGAGTTGTAGGAAAGGCAAGAAAACCCAAGTAAATGTCACAAAAATTCCTTGGTGTAAGTAGCTGCAAGAAATATTCAGATTAAACAGGAGGAAAAACTGTCTAAGATAAGAAAAGCAAGACACAGAAAAGAAAAAAAAATGTCCTGGAGGCTTGTGGAGGCTCCCCCCATCTTTGGAGGTCTTAAAGCATGGATTAGGGAGAGAGCTGCCAGGAATGATCCTGCCTCCGGGCACCAGGAGACCAGATGATGTGCCTGTCAGTTCTCTGCCTCCAAAAGCAGGGCTTGTGCTTCTCCTCCTTTTCTCCTGGATGAGCATGGCATCTTTGTGACCTTCCTTCATGGCCTTCTAGCAGCGCTCTCAAAAATACCCCCCAAAAGAGATGAAATACTGGGAAATGGATGTCTTTCCCTGCTTTGGCTGGGAATGGCTTTAGAGAGGGAGGGGAAGACATTCAGGGGGCTTTTTTCTCCCAAGAGCAAGGCTCCCTTTCTGCCATCGGCGCTGCAGCAGTGACTATTTTCTGGTTTAATCTCATGGCAGCTCTGCGTGTCTGAGGGATGAGGTCATGCTCGCTCACCCACAGCCTGCTGCTGCTTTTGCTTCGATCCCTCTAGTTTGGGGAGTGGAGGGGGGTGGGTGGGATTGCATTCCTTGGGTCCCTGCACAGTGCGGTTTTGGATGTCTCCCTGACCACCAAGCACTGCCTCAGACCTTTACCCTTCTCTTTGCACGGAAATGTGCTGCACCTGGGGTAGGGAGAGGCAGGTAGAATCTCTGGCCATGCTCCCTTTCCTGTCTTACCTGTGCTCTGGCTGCTAGTTCGTCTCTGCCAGGTCTTCTGCTTTCTTCTTGTAGCTGCTTTCAAAAACACAAATTAAACCAACTGGCTGGAGAAATGCTATTTTCCTCCTTCTTTCTTTTAATTTTTTTCTGCCATTTTTACCACTTCTTGCCAGAAATCAACCAATTGTGAGGATGAGGCTGGTGATTACGCAATCTGAGCGCAGGGATGGCTGTTTCATAGCCTTTTGGATTAACGACAGAAGCTTTAAATGTCTGTGAAGAAGAACTGTGGTGACTGATGGAAATACAGCCCTCACTCCTTGCTCTGGTAGATCCTGAGCTCCTGGCTTCTAAACTCATGATACTATGGTTGGAAAAGCCAGTTTAGGTAATTGGTGGAGATTGGTGTGATTTTATTACACCTAATGCCCTCTCCTCCAGGAGGCTTGCATGGCTCAGCAAAACGACCAGCACTTGTAAAGACATAAAACCCAGCCCAAATTAAGTATTTTTATTTATTTATTTATTTGTAAGAAACCCTTCCAGCCTGGTGTGAAGATTTCCCCATCCCTCAGATTGAGGATTAATTGCACTTAGGGGCCAATAGCTGCATCTACTGCTGGTGGGAGGCCACCACCCTGCACTGAGATATGGGGCACGTTGCCTGGGCTCTGGCTCTGAGATGTACCTGGCTGGGATGGGCAGGGCTTGGTCACACCGCATTTCTCCAGGATGGGCAGGGCTTGGTACCACCAGGTAAAAATAAGGCTTTGGGAATACCCGTTGGAGTCTCCCAGAGGGAAAGAAGTCTGATTTGGGGTTTTAAAAGGAGGAACTGTTGTCAGCTTTCTTCTCCGGAAGTTGGAAAGAAAAGCTGCTGCACCCTGGACCTAGAGGTCACCTAATACATGGGTAGGTCACTCAAAAGATGTCACTGGCAAATCTCAGGGCTGAGGAGAGAAGCGCCTGTTGAATCAGAAAGGAGAATTACAAAGTGTGATATCGATGGAGGAAATGGAGTCTTGAGATAAAATAGCACTTGAGGAGGGGAAAACAGGAAAAGTCTTCATTTGAACTCAAAAACAGAAAGGAAAAGGTTAAGCCTAAAGTCAAGGAGAAGGGTCTGGTAGAGTTAAAGGCCAGGAGGGGAAAGGCAAAGCTAGGAGACAAAGAGGAGAATAGAGGAGCCAAAGCAATAGGGAAGGACAAGCAAGGAAGGGAGAAAAGGACAAAACAGGAGGCAGAAAGGCTGGGGGTCACTGCAGGGGTTGTTCTCCTCAGCTGCAGCTGAAATGGGGTGTCGCAGGGCTTTTGGGGGTAAGGGTGAATGCCTTGAGGAAAAGAAGCTGGGATGTCCAGGTACCTGCCCTGCTGTCTTGGCCAAGTCTCCTCTGGGGTGTGAGGGACACCCAGGGTTGCCCCTGTGTGGCTTCTGTTCCACTTGGGGTGATGCTACAATATGCTTGCTTTATTATTATGCTCTCTGTTATTATAACAAAATTAAATTGTTGCATATCTTGATTTAGCTTTCCTAGCAAGAAATATCCTATAGTTGCCTTGCTTTTTCACTCTTCCTTCCTCTTTTTATGCTGGGAACTGGGGAATACACTGGAAAGAACAACAGCTTTTTCTTTTTAAATGATGGTGTATTGGTAGAGATAACACAAAAATCCACTTGCAGTCCTTGATTATTTTAATATTTCATGCAAGTACGATGTGAGGGTGACAAATGAGCAACTCAGTGTCTGGGAGCTCAAGAGATCCCCATAGGGATCGTCTTCTCACCATGCACAATTTACAAGCAAGTTACAAGATCAGTACCCAAACCCATTTTTTTATTACCTTTAGAAGGTGCACACATGGGGGGAGTTGCATGTCAGTTCATGGCCATCATTGTTCAGCCAAATTTACGCTGCCAAAGCAAATGGTTTGATAACATCAGGGAAGCATTAATGGTCTAGAGGGACTGAATGAGTTCATGGATCTTGTGGATAGTTTGGGTCTCTGAAAAAAAGTAATTAAATGATGTTTTGTGGAGCTGTTCTTCACAACTAAAGTATGCTCTTTATTACATGTTTCATCATAAATCTATTTAGTCATAATAAGGGCTTGTTCCAGCTTTAATGCACTAATGGGTCCATATCTGCCTAAATCACCTAAAATGCTTGAAGCACAAATTCTTTATCTTTCATGCAAAGATTCTCTTACACATCACTTCTTGTACTCAATTATATGTTGCACTAAGCAACAGAAGCATGCAAAGCCTTACATTGAGAACTAAAACCTGTTTTTTCAACTTGAGATTCTCTTTCTCTAGCTGAAGTAAGCTTATTCTTCTTTCTCTGGAGACATCTTATGGCTTTACTAGAGGGTTTTTGGGGCTGGATTTTGATCACTGAGACCTCAGTCTCCCCTCCTTTCCCCCGAAACCCAACCCAATCACCCAGCTAGAAAGCAAGACTTTTCACCTTCATGTCCAGCTCCAGAACGATACTTTGGCAGCACCCATTCTGCATAACGCGACTGGAGAGCACCAAAGTCCGACTTCCCTCAGCACTTAACCAGAAACAGCTGCAGCAGGACCATCTCTGAGGGATTCCCTCACTTGTGGATCCTTCTTCTGGCAGCCAGCAGCCAGCAGCCAGCAGCACTACCATCCAACCATGTCCACAGTGGAGGTAAGCAGGGCTTTCCAAAGGCGGCTTTCCCCAAACTGTGGGTCCTCTCCTGCCACTCCTGGCCTTGATGTGCTGCTGGACTGGGATGAAAGCTCCAATAGAGGTCCTACCAAGGAGATCCAAAATAATATTCCTAACAATAGAGCTGATGTGAAATTTGCAGCCCGGCACCTTTTCCCTGCTTGCCTTTCCCATTGCATTCTGCCTCCTGTGGCAGTTTAGATGACAAAGTCTTCAAGGCAGGGATTACCTCTTAGGACAGGCTGTGGGTTGCCCAGCGTAACCTGAACTGCCCCTGAGGCCCCAGGTAAGTATAAGCCATGCACAACTAGCACAACTGGTATTACTAGCGCTGCAGCACACCCCATTCCCTGGAGCCAGCCTTAAATCCTGTCCAGAATTAGATTCAGAAGAAAGAAAAACCACCTAGACCCAACAAATGCAAAGGGTACCAGAATGTGTCCTCTGTATTGATGGAGGTGAAGTTTGGGCAAGAGATGGTGAGAGGCCCTGCCCTAGAGGGCTCCGGTGGTGCTTTAAGCATTTGTGTAGTTGGTGTCTTCTGCACTGAAAATAAGTGATGAAGGAAGCACCTTTACTGTGGTGCTGGATGCGTTGAAATTCTGTTTATTTTTTAGGGGACTGCCTAATTTATTTGCCCCTTGTAAGGAGGGTAGTAAGGAGCCTGATGAAGTGCAGAGGTCCCAGCTGCAGAGCTTTAGTGATGTCCTTTGTAAAACACAAGAGGTGATCCCCCTTGGAGACCCAGCAACACAGCATCCAGAAACCAGCCGCTGTTCTCGCACAATCGCCTTTTGCCATCATATCTCTTCCTAAAAACAGAAGGGAAGAGTAAAAAGCCCATCATTCCAGATGTGTCTAAATAGGATGTTTACCTACACCTCATGAGGCCGCAGCAGTTTAAGTGCTGGGAGACGATCTGGCTCTCCCTATGGAGCTCCACTGCGCGGGGTCCGCTTCTTGGGGGGGGGGGGGGGAGGGGTTGGGGAGAACCCCAGGCAGGAAAACAGGCAGCGCGGGTGGAAGGGGGCTCCAGCTCCCCCCACCGCTCCTGCCGCTCCTCGCTTTTGTTCGGGCACGGCTGAAGCGGGGGCCGCGGGGCGGGGAGGGACGGAGGGAGGCTGGTAGGGAGGGAGGGCTGGCAGGCCGGAGCCGGTTGCCCGAAAAGGCTTTTCTTTCCCTTAACCCCCCCCCCCCAAAAAAAAAAAAAAAAAGAACCATCCAAATGCAACACGAGAACTGTTTGGTTTTTTTTTTTAATGATTTTTTCTCAAGTAACAAAAAGTAAATGTAAAAAAAAATAAAATGAAGAAACCCCCCAGTAGAACTCTAACACCCCTAACTCCCACCCCTTCGCGCAGACCCTGCCCCCGGCCCGCCCCACGCCGCGCACGGGGGCCGCGGGCGCGCAGCGCGGCGCCGCCCGGCCCCCCCGGAGGCGGCAGCGGCGGCGGGAGCGCCAGGGACCCCGGCGGCGGCGGCGGCGGCGGGGGGAGGCGGGCGCCGGGCGCCGCCCGCCCCGCATCCCGCCGGCCCCGCATCCCGCCGCGCCGCGCCGCCGGCCCCAAATGGATTATCTGCGGCTGGTGCTGTCCTGCCTCGTCCCCCTGCACGGCTGCCTGGCCGCCGGCAGCGCCCCAGGTACGGCCCCTTCCCGGGGGGAGCGGGGTCCCCGGGGGTGCGGGCTGTTTTGACAGGTGGCTCGCACCCCGGAGGATGGGGGGAAAGGAGAGCGCTGCCGCTGGCGGGGGGTTTGATTTCAATGGGAAATTGGGGAGATGGAGGCTGGGCGAGAAATAGTTGGCGTGCCTGGCGTGAGGGGCACGTCAGCCCGAGTTTATTCTGCTACGTTTGATGCGCCTGGCTGAAACTACACGCCGGAGCTGCGCTGGGAGGGAAAAGCAGTTGCTGGGTTTATCGAGCTCTAGTGGGGCTTGCCAAAGGCTTCCCGAGTTGGGTTGGCCACCGAAATCCCGACGCGTGAGCGGGATGCTCCGTGCCCGTGGCTGAGCCCTTTTCCTGCGTCTTGACTCCGCAGAGCTCCTCCTGTCCGGCAAACTCAGCGAGTATGGTGTGATCGTCCCATTCAGCGCGGATTGCCGCGGCCGCTTCCTCTCGCACGTGGTGTCCGGCGATGCGGCGGCGGGGATCGGCGGAGCCGCCTGTCCCCCAGCCCAACGCCCGTCCCGCCGCCGTGTCCCCCGCAGCCCCCTGGATGAGTCCCCCCAGCGCCGCGAGGCCGGCGGCCGCTTGCTGTACTTCAACGTCACGGTTTTTGGGAAGGAGCTGCACCTCCGGCTGAGGCCCAACCAGCGGCTGGTGCCGCAGGGCGCCGTAGCCGAATGGCAGGAGGATTTTGAGGTGCTTTTCCGGGAACCCCTTCAGCAGCGGTGCCTTTTCACCGGCGACATCTCCGGCATGCCCGGAGCCGCTGTGGCCATCAGCAACTGCGATGGACTGGTAAGCTCAGGAGGCCAGCGGGGCAGGTTGTGCATGTTGCCTGTGTTTTGGTATGGTTTTCTCTTAAGAGGTGGATCGTCGTGCCCTGAAACCTGATTATTTGGTGATGCTTTAAGTGTCTGTGCCATGCGTTGCCCTTTACCGTCTGGTGCTGTGGGTTCTCTTTCCCCACGTGGCTTGTGGTGTAAGCAGGGCAGGGTACTACATGTGCGAGTGCTCCATCTTTCTGCTGTATGTGCAGCTGTATTTGTTTGAAGGTGTTGAAAACATTGCCTGCCCCATGCCCGAGCTGCCTCCTGCCCAGAGGTGGGCTGTGTCTGGTGCTATTATGCCCATGGGCTCTGCCTCTGGGACAGTTGCCCATGCTGACAGTGGTGCAGCTTCATCCTCACTCATCCATGTTTTACTCTGGGACTGCTTCAGGAACTTTTTCTCTGTTTCCCTCCTCTTAAATGAGACTGAGTGAGCTTGATCTCCTAAAATCACTGTTAGCCTGCAGTCTTTCTGCCAAGTTGAAAAGCATCTTTTTTTTTTGCAGGATCTCTTTTTTTCTTCCATTCTTTTTTTCTAATTGTTCCATGCTCAGAGCTTTTTGGCACCCAGTTCAGCACCGGTTACTTGCTGCCACAGCGCTTTAATTACTTTAAATGGCTCTGTTACCTCCTTAGCCCTGGCATCTGGTCTGCCTGTGGGTTTCCTACTTTTGATATGGTTGAAGAATCACTTCTTTTTTTTTTTTTTTATACCTTTGGCCCATTGCCCTTCAAATTTCCTTTGAGCCAATTTAATTCTTGTTTTAGGTGCCAGGGTTTGCTGTTTTCTCCTGGTATCGCTTACATTACTCCTGCGTTGGAATAAACCTCTTATTTTGCTTTGCCATTTTTTTTTTAATATACTTCTTTTTCGGTTGCTTTATTCTGGGAGTTCCTTAAGCCGGTTTTGGCAGCTAGCACAAACAATTTGGCATTCCGTTCTTTTTATGCAGCGCCTGGTGTTACTATACAAGCAGAAATGACAGAGCAGCACGGCTAGAAATACATATTTCACCTGCATTTAGTAGTTTGTTTATTTTTTCTCCCAACAATTTTAGCATGCAATCCACAGCTTCTGAAACAGCTTTTTTAGAATTGTCTGAGGCTGTGAATTTGCAGAAATTTCTCTATGATATGGATGGTCCTGGGGCTGGTGAATTTGGGCAGGCTTGAAAGCTTGAAAGGTATTTCCTATAGCTCCAACAAGCAACTAGTAACGCTGTGTCTGGAATGAAAAATTGCTTTTTAAGTGTACAGGTTGCATTGCAGATATAATTTCTGCTGGCATCATGAGTGAAGTGATGCTGGAAGCGGTTGGCAGCTGAGTCCATGTCCTGACACAGCTCAGAAGCTGTGAGGGTAGTGTTATGGGGTTTTTCTTCCCCAGAGATTTATGAAGCAGTTCCTGTGTTGCCATCCATGGTACCCCCAAGCCCACTCTCTTAAGCTCATGGAAAGAAGTGGCTCTTCACCCAGGATCAGCAGCTCAGGGTGCTTGCTTCTTCTTTACCTTCATTAACCCCCGTGCAGCCAGCCCTGTGGGAGCTTTGATGCTGCTCTGCAGGGTTGGATTAGCTGAGCCACGTTGTGCTGGTGCACGGGGCTTTAGTTGTTTGCAGGTGCTAAGGGCTTCTGCAGGGAGGTTTTGGTGCACCCCCATTTCTGAAGCTATCCTGGGACACGGTATTAGTATCATGGTTGCTGATGTATTGTCTTGCAGATGTTTTATTTCTTCATGTAGAGCTCCAGCAGCACCAGGAAAGAGAAAAAAAAGTAATTTTTTTTTTCTTCCTGCAGTGCATCTATTGCTCTGTGGCCAACAAATAAATGCCCTGGCCTCAAGCAGCAATTTCCCATCATCCGGCAAAGCACATGTGGTGATTGCAGGCTGGGGGAAGAGGTCAGAAGGACAGAGCCTGAGCAGGGGTTCTGCTCCTTCTCCAGTAAAGAGGATTTTGTAATACTTCCAACATAGCAGTTGGTTTCTGTCTTTCATGGATTTTTTGGCTGGTGTAGATTGCTGTATGGTCCTCTGCCTTAAGTTAGTCTGCAGCTTGTATTTGCTCGGAGTTGTGAGACCAACAGGACCCCAAGAAAGCAGTGAAAAGAGCTTGATTTAGCAAATGAAGCAAGAAACAGAACCAAAATGTGGTGACAAGTATGGATGGGATGGGAGGATAGTATCTGTGACCATGCTGTACCTCCAGCGTGACCCAGCAGAGAAGCAGCAGAACATCTGGGAGAGATGTAAGTGGTCAGGACTGTTGTTAGCATCATGCTAGATAGGGACTAATGTAAGGTGGGGAGCACTGGCTGTAGGTAGCTGTGTTGCTCTTTGATATGTATGTACCCTGGAATTGCTGTGGACTTTTACTGGAAGTTATCCATGAGCTTCAAAAGGGGATTGCAGCTTTTGCATCCCAGTACAGTGTGTGTGGGAGGCACAGGACCGCACATGGCTGCTCTTTTCTGGTCAAAGGAAGCGCTCTGGGATGCTGTGGATGAAGGCTGTGTACACAAAGAGATTATGCTGTGTATAAATGGAGACTGAGATTATAAATAATGAAGGGGAAAAAGAAACAGTTCTTGAAAAAGAGAGTACACATTAAGTCTTTCCTAAATCCATATTTAGCCATGTAAGTTAGCTGATTTTTTTGAGAGATGCCAAACCCATGGCACCTTCCGCAGCTGTTACTTGCTGCAGGCATCCACACATGAAAATCCAGCCTTTTCTTTGCAAGGGTGCCTCATACCAGAGTGGGAAGATGCTGTCGTCCATAATGTAATTTCAAAGCTGATTTAAGTCACCAAATTCCTAGCTGGTAAAGTAGTGTTAAGCAGAAATCTGCCCCATCAGACACATCTCACTGCAGTGAAGGTACCCCATCTTTCCATGCCAGCTTTAGCAGCGTGTGGTCAACCTTGCTTCCTTCATGCTTTACTGGCAGAGGTGGATGAAGAATTATCATCTGTAGGCACCACATTTGCTTTTTGTGGCTGGCTTTTCCCTGTTGTTCTTCAGGGTTATTTGCACCAAACATCAATGTCCTGCAAACCGTAGAGCCAGCGTTTTCCGTCCCTGTCAGCCTGGCTTGCTTTGGAGGGGTGGCAACAGATAAGCAGAGCACAAAGGCCCTCAGAACAGCAATTAATAGGAAACGAAGAGAGAAACAGTCCCCATAATGATGCCCAGTGCAAAAAGTATGGCTTTGTCTTCCAGGATTTTCCTTGCAGTTCCTGAACTATAGGGTTAATTCTGTGAAGAAAGAAGGTGCTGGTTTAAATGCCCAGAAGGCGAGATGTCATTTGGTTACATAGATCCCACTGTCCTCAGCTCCTTTTTTTTTTTTTTTTTTTTTTAACTTGGAAATGAGAACTTTTCTCCTATGTGAAAGTCCTTATTTTTGGCAGTGAGATGAAAAGCAGTCTCTGTTTGGGCTGAAAACCTAATTAGTTAGTTAGCAGTGAGCATGTCTTCATGCCCTCACCCCACCAGGTACTGTATTTGAATCCTGGCCTGAGAGACCTGGCAAAGCCCAGATGGAGCAGCTCCCTGTCTGCAAACATCCCAAAAATCTCTTGCCTTGGCTCGAAGAGCAGGGAAAGCAGTCAAGAAGTGCAAAGCGTTGTGTTAAATGGGTTGCAAAGCCTGTGCTGTGCAGAGAGGTACCAAAATAGTGATGGAGCACATGCTGTGCTACTGCGAGGTGTGGTCCAGCTAAATGCAGGACAGATGCATCCCTCTACTGATCCCTCCCCGATGCCTTCACTGGGCAGTCTCTGGAGAAAGGGGAGCAGTGGCTAGGATGGTGCCTGCATTCACACAGCCTGGCTTTCTGGGACTTTTTGTCCAAATTAAGTGTGAATCGTGTAGGAAAAATACATAGTATGCACGCAGCTGGATTTCCCCCTCCTCGGTGCTGTTTGCCTCTCTGGCTGAGTGGAGCAGTTTTATTAATTTTTCCACATTTCAGCTGTGTTGAAGTGTCAGAATTTCCTGAATTCCTGTGGGAGTTGAAGCTTTTTACCCAGCGGTGGTGGAGGAGTTTTTTACCCAGGGTGCTGGGGGGTTCCCCTTAGCAAGGCTGGTGCCAGGCCAGTGGGGCCAGTTCATCTCTCCTGTAGCCTGGGGAGACACAGGAGAGCTGAGTAAAAGATTTCACCTTCTGTGAGCTGGCAGAAATGGATTTGGTGTTTTCCTTAAAAGGAAAAAAAAAAGTATATAAAAGGCCATTTTCTAGATTGGAAATTACCTTCCCCAAGAGCTGCAGACAGCATCTTGTGTTAGAAATATTAGTAATGATAGTCCCGCCTGGCCAGATTTCATTTGATTTGATGTTATTAAACCAAATAAAATTGGGGGCAGGAAGCACATGGCAAATTGATTATTGAGGATGGGATTGATCTTTTGGCAAGAGCCCAAGGAAAGCTTACTGTGGCTTTTTGGGTGGCTGGCCTCTCTTGCTGCTTCCCTACAGTTACAACCTTCACAAAATGCTGAAGTACAGCCTGAGCTGCTCCTTTTTAAGGCTGAGCAGGTTTGTGCATGCCTCGTGCAATCTTGGTTTTGTGCTGGTTTGTTTTATTATTTTATTTTTGTAAATGCCAAGGTGACTGCTGTGGTTTCTGTTTCATTTATGAAGCTGCTCTGATCAGATGTGCATAGAAGTCCTTGTGGTATCTACTTTGTCTGTCGGTCACTGCTGGAGTCAGCAGTATGTTACGTCCCACCTTTGGGAGAAAGCACAGGTGAGAAAGTCTGGGCTGCTTTATTTCTTGAGCCATATACAATTAGTCATGAGCTATAGAGCAGAGCAAACCCAAGTGGGCCATGGCTCAGGACCAGGCTCTTTCATGTTTTAATCCAGCCTTGCCCCAGCAAGGCAGCACAGTTTTTCTCTGGCCACCTGATTCAGCAAGTCCCGGCTTTTGCCATATACCCATAAATTGACTTTGGGTGCCTTGTCCTGAGTGAAACGTTTCATGGCAGGGCTGCGAGGTGGTAGTGGTGTCCCAGAAGACCTTCTCCTGGGACAGAGGTTGCTTATTGTGCTGCCAGGCTGAAATAGGATGCTGGCTGGGGTACAGTGCCAGGTGCATTTGGGTAGTAGGAGTGCTGCTCCAGCCCAAATTTCTGGTGATGCGCAAGCTGGAAACGTGGGAAATCATCAGCGTAATTCATGTGCATAAAATCCAGGCATGTTTGTGATGCCTGTATCAGATACCCAGAGCTCTGCCCTTCGTAGCTACTCATTTTTGTTTGTTAAGCAATGGATCCCCACCTTCTCTTATCACATAAAGAGCAGAGGCTTAGACCTGCCCCGTTGCCATGTACTTGCCCAGCCATCACTGGACCTGACCTGCGGGTTGACTCTCTGCCTTATCACCACCACTTTGCCTGGTGCTCCAGACTTCTGGTTAAATTTGGCAGTGATTTTCATCTCCTTGGCTGGGGGTGGATGGAGAGGTCCTCCCCTGGTGACCTGAATGTCTCCTGTGGGCACGACCTGAAATACGTGCGTCAGGCAAGTTGATCCTAGCACAACTGCCTGTACTTGGATTCCTCGGGAAGGAGGTAAAACAAAACCAGCCAAAGACCTGCTTTCCAGAGGAGTTAAGCAGCTAATAAAACCCAAGTGGAGCAGGAAATTTGATGAAGTCTAACAGAGACAGGTTGCTGATGCCAGGGTGAATGCATCAGTACGTGAATGTGAGGGAGATCCAATGACCCATGCAAGCTTGGAAGAGCCCCAGCTTTGCCTGGTTGTTTACAGAGCCTAGCTTATGTCTTCGTACTGCTCTGTGCAGTATATATGTAAGGTTTTTGTTTTATTTGATGAAAACAGTTCTAATACCCCCACCCTGATGAGGACTCCGGTAAGTACATGCTGTTGAAGGCTTTGCTGTGTAAGTACAGATCCGTATGTTCTGTCTGTGCTTTCCAGCTATTCAGCAGCAGGCAGCAGCGGGCAGTGCCAGAGGAAGGAGAGTGTGTGTGTGTGATGGAGGGAGCTGTGAAAAATGCTGGGCTGGGGGTAGCTGCCCATAGGATGGAAGCCAAATCCCAGTGATCCTTTTGCTTCCCTGAGGTCTGAGCTGGCTGGCGCTGCGGGGTATGAGTGCTCAGGCTGATGTAAGGGAGATTTGGTGGGAGCTTGGTGTTAATTAGGAGCAGATTGGTAACCAGGACAACATTACCAGCGATGTTTGCCCTTTCATTCATCTTCCCCATGTTAGGGAAGTGTAGTCATAATGCTTTCCAGCTTCTCTTCTGAAGGGGTTTCCCTGTGTTAATTCCCAAGCACTCCACAGGGCAGAGATGATGGTTTCTTTTTCCTTCCGTCTTGCTGTGACTGCAGACTTGTTGGTGAAATGGCAGGTTTCCTCCCAGTCACTACAGGCATGGGCATGGTGCAGGGAGGCGAGGTGGTGTGGGAGCCCCTGCAGCCTGTACCCCACATCACTGGTGAGAAGGAATGGAGTTTCCTAGCCATATAAAGACATAACTGGAATTACATCAATTTTTTTGTTGGTTGGTATCATTCTCTGTTTCTTGTTCCCCCTTTTTTTTCCATCTACAGGGGAAATTAAGGGTCATCATACATGAACATGGTAAGGCATCCATCCCAGTGTCATGGAATAGCAACAAGACAGTTTATTTGGGATGCCTTTTTCCTTTGGATTCATGCATGTTCTGTATCAATCTTTACTGCATATACTGAGTGTGTATGTAAGCGTATGTGTATATAAAAACACATTTTTTTTTCCCCTTTATTTTCTGTGGAGTCCAGGCTGGCCTGATTCGGACAGACAGCAATGAGTTCTTCATTGAGCCCCTGGAGAGGGGGCAGCAGGAGACAGAGGAGCATGGGAGAGCCCACGTGGTATACCGCCGGTCGGCCATCCGGCAGGATGGTGCTGAGCCCCATCAGGACTTCCACCCTGAAGGTAGGGGCCGCTGGAGTCTATTCTTTACCAGCAATTGATCATAACTATTTCTTGTGGGGGGAGGACTTCCACTTGCTCTCTAGCTTGTACATCTTGCCCTATGGCTTTAGGCTGGCTTTACCTGCCAGTTGGGTCATCAGGGAGAAGAAAGGAAAGAAAATGCTGGGCTTTTGCTGGGAACTTTGAAATTCTTCAAATTTGGTTAAAAGTGGATGAATTGTATATACGAGTTATTCTTCCTCTTCGTCAAAGAGGAAGAATTTCACAGGTGGGTGTGATCAGGCCCATGGATGCTCACATCAGCCTTGGGATGGGAAGAAGAGTTGGGACTTGTGAGCGAAGAGGTCAGGAGGCGGCAGACTTGGTCTGACTTTGCTGTGACTGTGGCTTGGAGATGTAGGTGCTGCAGTCTTGATAGAAGTCCTTCTTTTTCCCCATGTTCACAATTCATTTTGCTTCTCTAGTGCCTTGTCCTTTTTTCTTTTCCCTTCTTTGCCTTGAAGGAGAAAATGTGGCTTTTTCTTTTTTATAGCATCACTTAGCCATGTGCTGCTCTCTATGCACATAAATCGCCTGCTGACTTCCCCTCTCACCCACACAAAGCCAAGCACACACAGAAGTGTTTACAAGTGTGGGGTCAACGCTGTGCAAAAGCACTCTCTAAACCTATTTATATTTACACAGAGACATTAAACTTCCCAGCATTTATTCACCTCCAGTGGCACCATAATCTGCTCCCTGAGTTTTAATGAAGTGTAGAAGTTTTGCAGGATGGGCTCATTGCTTTTGTAGCGTTACTAATGGAATTGAGAGTTTCAAAGGGACTACAAGGTTACGGGGTGAAGGATGTGATGAAGGGTGAAGCATGGAGGATGCTCTGGATTCAGCTCTCTGCTCTCAAGGAGCAGCCCTCAGCTTCACAGGCATCCTCCCCAGCTATCCAGCACCTCTTCACCACCATCCAACAGAGTGTGTAGGACCATCATATCCCAGATGTGTCTTTTAGTGCTGGTGGTCCCATTAAAGAGCCATTTCCCCACTGCAGAGCAATGGTGAATTTGTATTTTTTTTTTGGTGTTGCCATGGTGTCAGGTCACCTCAATGGCTGTTTCTTGTTCTGCCCCCTATGCCTTGCTCAGTGTCCGACATGCAAGTGGGTGATCTCCCCAACTCCCTGGAGCTGATGACGGAGCGGCTGGGGGACACAGAACGCAAGAGGCGCCACGCCAGGAAGGACGACTACAACATCGAGGTCTTGCTGGCAGTGGATGACTCGATTGTACGCTTCCATGGGAAGGAGCATGTCCAGAACTACGTCCTCACCCTCATGAACATAGTAAGGCTTGGCTTTGAGGGTCTGTGGCTCCCCCCCCCCCCTTGTTTACTGCTTTCCTCATGCTGAAAATCGGTTATCCTGGAAAAAAAGAGGATTTGGGAGGGGAGAAAAGTGCTGCAGGAAGGGCTGGCTGTGCATTCACACAGCCATCTCTGGCATTTAATAGCTGTGGCAACTGGAGTGGTGGAAAGCAGAGCCTTTTTATGTTCCTCTCCGTCAAGTTCCCCTGGCCAGTGGCAGGGTCTGGCGTGGTGGTTGCTGTCACTGCCTGTCACCTACGTCCAAGAGCATCTTCTGTATCTCCTGATCATCACTGAAATCTCCTGATCATCTCCTGATCATCACTGAAATCTCAGCAAATGCTTAGAAAAAGAATGGTTGTTCATTTTTTTATTTTGTACTTATTATGTTTATTTTGAACAGTATTTGTAGACGGGGAAAGATTTTTACAGATTTTCAGAAGCTTTTTTTGGAAAACCTGGGCACCTTGAGGACTAGTCAGATGTGCTTGAAAAGGAGTTTATAGCAGCTTTAGAGCAGGTCTGCTTCTGCATCTCTCCTCACCCAGTGGTACAGGGAAGCCTGTGCTGATTCCCTGCACACCTTTTTTTTTCTTAAGATAAAAATGTACATATTCCCCATGTCCTGAGAGATGTGGAAGGATCAATATTTATTCAGCTAGTCATCTTGTGGAAGGTTTGCTCCACCAGCACCTGAAGGTCTGCAAATATGGTCTGCATTCAAAGATCTCTCTTGTGTGATTTCCCATTTTTGTTTTATTTTCCATGCTTTATACTCGTCTCTATTTATTTATTTTTATTTAAGTACTCTTTTGCATGGTGATGGAAAGTGTTTGAAAGGCACAGCCAGCTGAGAAATAACCAAGCTATAATGATGCTTTTGCTTTTTGGTTGCTTGGTTGGGTTTTCTTTGGACATTATTTCTGCCATGGTTGACCAGCTCGGAGCCATATTCCCAGTAACGAAGGGGAGATTATCAGCATAAGGGGTAAGGATTTGCACGATTAGAGGCCAAGCGTAATGTGGACGATCCCAAATAGAGAAGATGTTGGTTTTAAAAAGCAAATGCCTTCATTGCAACATTTTATTCTCCAGTGCAGTATCCCAATGCCTGTGGTTGGATGCTCTCAGCATCATTTCAGTTAACTCTCTGAAAGTTTCTCTGGTTTGCTTATTAAATCCTTCTGCAAGGGGGAAGCCGCAGGATTGCCCGTTCTGACCCCAGGCTCTTCCCATGTTACGGGGGTCAGAGATGATGTCATTTTCCCTTTCCGATCTCGGGGACGGGGGGGACGGGGGGGACGGGGGGATGGGACACGACACGACAGACATTTGAGTGCCTGGGGATTGTCAGCTTTAATCAAAAGGTTGGTTTTCAGGCGCATTTCATGGTTTATACCCCGCAGGCAGGACTTTTCAGGGAGTGAATGCGCGGGATCCTGTGCTGGGAGAAGGGAGGACTGCTGCTATTCAAGTAAAGGCGGCACTGGAGACTTTAATGAATTAAATAAAGGGAAGGGAAAGCAGCAGCAGTAAAAGGGGAAAAACAGGATAATGCACACAACAAATACTTCCCCCAAGTATTATTTCCTTCTATATATTCTTCCCCCACCCCCTTCCCCTTCTTTCTTTCTGTGTTTAGTGTGTTTTCTTTCCAGTTTTGCTGTGACCTCCTTCTGCCTCCTCTTGGCGCTGCCTTGTTTCCTTACCGTCTCAGATTGCCTTGAAATACCCGATTCAGCAGAAAAAGCCCCACTTTCTGGCCTGGATGGCAGAGGGAGAGAAAAAAAAGGGTGCTGGGGTTGGCGGGGAAGAGTGTGCTGGGACCACACAGCTGAACACTAATCCCATTAGTTGGAGGCAAGGGGAAGGAGGAGAGGCTTGGCCAGCTCTCTTAACAAGGAAAGGACTTAGTGGGCTGTGCTGGAGTACACCAGGGAGATGCTGCATGGTAGCCAGCTGGAAAAGCTTCCAGAAATTTTCTTATCAAGATACATCCCAAGAAAAGGGAGCAGCTGGCTTGGAAGTTGATAATAAACTTTACTGTCCTTCGTTGGGGTCCCCGTTGGGTACCAAGTGGGTGATGGAACGCATACCCCTTCCTGGTGCTGCACAGGCTCAGCTTAAAATGATGCTGCTGTAGCTATGGTCCCAGGGCCCTCCCTGAGACACAAATCCTTTCATTAGGAACTTAGTGTCAGCTGAAGCTCAATGATAAATGATTCGTCACGGAGAATTTTTTTAAATAACTTCCCCCTTATTTTATTGCCAGAAATGTGGATAACAGGCTTTTCATTAAACAGCACTGGGAAGCTGACATCAGGATGACTGCTCCTTTTGTGCACCTAAGAGCTTCCCTGCAGGTTGCCTTCCTCGCTAGCTCCCAGCCTGTATTCCCAGCCTGCCATTCCTATCTTGGCTTGGACACTACCATAGGGTTTTGGGTCAGGTTGAAGTGGGTGGGAAGTACATCCTTTGCCATTGCTTGCCGTGCATGCTGGAGAAGGCACACCTGAGCATCTCTCTCAGCTCTGAGCTGAGCATCACTGTGTCCACCCTAGCAAAACCTGGCCCCCTCCCTGACACTGGACTTTTGGGATGAACATTTGGTGATGTGGCAGCTGGGGGAAGCTGTTCTCCTGTCTTGCTTGCTGCCCATGGCAGGGACTGCGATGCTACTGAAGCAAAATTAGCATCCCCCAGCCACTGTGACTGCAGGGTGAGAGTACTGAAGAGTGGGAGAAGGGCTGGGAACAAGGAGGGGATCCAGCACCCCGTAAGGGGAATTGGAGAGAAAATGTTTTATGTCCTACTTTGCTTTTTGGCCTCTGGTAATTCAGTTGGGATCCTTGGTTTTCTCCTCTGGATTTCCCACTGCTCACCCCTCTTAAGGCTGGGGGTGGTCCTACTCAGAAGAGACCAAGCTATGGGCTATTTTAAGCCTTGCCCTAGTGTCAACTGGTTTGTTGGGGTTTTTGTAGGATACTGCCCATTATTTGGTTAAGGATGCAAAGGTACTTGGTGTTTTCCCATTGTTTCAGGTTTCTAGGGAAACCCTGTGACTCAGAGCCCTTTCCATGCTGGAACTTGCTTGTCCCCTCCAGCACATTGGCTGAATTATTGTTCCCAAGGGCTGAGTGACAAAGAGTGCTACTGAAACTCTGTGGAGCAGACGGTTAGCGAAAAAAAAAAATCAAACCTCTGGCTTTAGTTTTAACCTGCGATTATCTAAAAAGCCAAGCCAGAGCATGGATTCCTTGAGACACTGATTTGGTGCTGTTTCAGGAGAGAGGCCAGTCAAAAATAATGGGCAAATTACAGTCCTGGTACATGGGGGTTTCTTGGTGGTTCATGTGCCATCTTGCTAACTAGTAGTAATAAAAAATACCTCCGATGTCTCTTACACATGCACACACTATTTCCCACCCCCTATATAGGCTTATGTGTTTGTTGCTATGTTTTTGGGACAACATAGCCTGTTGCGTAGAGAGCTGTGATAAAATCTAGAGTCTTGCTCCGCAGGGCAAACCTCCCCTTTCCTCCATTCTTCTGCATTGAAAATGTAGATGAAGTGGGTCACAGGTGTTCATGAGGTGTGCATCCCTACAGGGGATGCAAGTGTATGTAGCAAGCCCAATAAAGTGGTGAAGGGGCTTTTGCCTCTGTTCCTAGCCCCTTAGTCCCAGAACACAGGCTTGGGATGAATCCACCAGCATGAAAATTGAGTGAGGGAATAAAAGAAAGGAGCTTAAAGATGACTTGGCTGTTCTGAGTGAGCAATCTGCGGTTTTGAAATGTCAGCTATTCTGCTGGTTTGGCAAATTCTTCTCGTGTCTCTCTCTTTGTTTTCTTTCCCTGAAGAACGGTGAGGTCTAGACATTTCTAGTGCGGTTTGCTGTCGAGATCTTGCATCTGGGGCTGCAGACTCAGGGCTGGCCAGAGGCTTGCAGGGATTTAGGTAGGCAGCCTTTCTCACTCCCTGAGCCAGCGAGGGTCTGGGGGAGGGTCCCATGCGCTTGGTGAATTCATCGAGCGTTTTGGAGAGGGTTTTCATGGTCATGTCTTTGTAAAGAACTGGCACTGCTGGCTGGGGGCTTTGGAGTTTCCTGTGGGGGGTGGTGTGGTGTGTGTGTCTCGCATGGGCTGGTTGTTCTTGCTGTTTTGCCCTTAATGCATGTCCAGTTTTAAGGGCTGTGCTGGTTGAGGTGAAAAAAAAGAGATATTCTTTTAAGTTAAATAAGAGAGCATTTCTTGCCAGGTGACAGTATTAAACAGGCTGGGCATCTAACCATGTGGGCGAGAGGGATAAGATCTTTATCCCATCTGTCTTCAGGAAGGCAGGTCCCTTTACTGGAGCCCTTTGCTGAGCAGGTATTTTCTGGGGGTATTTTCTCTGAAGACATTGACTCATTTAATGGCATCCACAGAGGGCAGGGGGAGTGGTGCCAAGCCTGCAAACCGCTCTCTGGGCCAATTTCCATCCCCTCTGCTGGTTTGAACCAGCTCCAGGGCAGGCTGATGGGGAGCAGGGAGGTGGTGCTTGCCCCCCCCTAGCTCCATCCCCACTTCTCCTTGCACAAGCATAGTGGCACTGCTGCCCCTGCTGATGCTCCACCCCTAGAAACCTGGGGACTTCAGTGTTACAGCCACCGCAGCAGCAAGCGCCAAGCCCTTTGGATTTTTGTTTTATTTCTTTCTTGATCAGTTATTTATATCTGGGTATTAAGGGAAGTCTATAGCCTTGGGCAGTCTGGTTCCACATCTGCTTTCTGAATTAACTGTAAAGGTCGCTGCTGAGCTGGTATCTGTTAGGTACAGGTCCCAGCCTAAATGCTGCCTTCCCCTAGACAAAACAGGGGCTGGCGTTTAGTGTTAACCCTTTGGTTCAGAGGCTGGAGCGGTACCTACTTGCTGCTAGCTGGAGGAGAGTGGGTTTTAGCACTGCTTTAAAAGGAAGATTTAGGGGATTAAATCCCATCTTAGAATAATACAGCTTCTTGTGTCTTAGTCCCTTAATGAGCTGTTTCTAAGCTGCTTATGGTCCTGCTGCTGTCTGTAGCCAGTTCTCACAAGGCTGAGGAAGAATGGGCTGTGCTGGTAGGGTATTGATGAGTCTGTTTATCAATGTCTGTGGAAAATACTATTGTTCCCAAACCTGGGAACTGTTTGAAGGCACCACTGGCAGGAAAGGGCATTGCTGAGAGGAGGTCTGCATGGCAGGGCAGCTGGCACAGAGCAAAGATCTTGTCCCAACAGCACCTCTGCTCTTGTACCTTCCTCCCCTGGATGTGACCCTCCGCTTCTTTCGCAGGCTCGGGCTGCCATGCAGCAGGTTGTCACAGAGCACCCTTTCCTGCTGCTTGCGGGGTCTGCTGAGCATCATGCCAAAATACTCTGTGCAGCCAGGAAGGGAGAGGTCTGTGCTGCTCTCTTGGATGCTTCAAGTCCTGGCAAGGTCCAGCAGTGGCTCGCCTGGGATCTCTGCCTGGCAGTCAGGTCCATAAGGCAGGAGCATGGTTCATCCCAATGGATTGAGGGGTCCTTGGGAGTAGGGAGCCAGCAGCAGAGTGGCAGTGGTTGTTCTTGAGGTGCTGACTGAAGCAGTAGTTTAATGGTGCTGTAGCTCCTGACAAGTGCTGGAGGTGAAGGAAAATGCATAAAGATTTTGGAAAGTGAGGGAAATGGCTGCCTTTTCCTTCTTGTTCCCTGAACCATCCACTAGGTCTGGCTCTTCAGGGGCATAACATATTTTTCATTTCTCTCTCTCTTGCCCATTTCTAACCCGTTTGTATTGTCTATTATAGGACATTCATTCAGGCTGAAATATTCTCTAAAGGGTCAAACTCCTGATGTGGAACTTCTCAGATCTGCTAACATTTAATTCTGGATGCCAAAGCCTCCTACATCCCAAACCCCAGGGCTGAGATCCCTCCTACATCCCAAACCCCCACCTGGGATGCTGCAGCTCCTTTCTGGGGTGGATGCTTCACGATTTGGTGGGACTCTAGGTCTGAGTAATGTTTGCAAGCAGGAGCCCAGCTGCAGCACTACACGACCTTCCGCCTGTCTGCGCATATCCCAAAAAGGATTAGCATTGGAAGAAATCCATTGTATTCTCATTTTTCTTACAAAATGCCTTTAAAAGGTGCTGGTGCAGCCTGAGGGAGTATCCCAACTGCCATAAGCAGGGGTGAGCTGAGGATGGGTTGCACAGTGTTATCTTTCCAAGCTGATGCAGAAATCACCCTTCAGGGCTTGCAGCCTCTGCATCCAAAGGGATGCATTAATGGGGACAGACAGTGATTTATTTATTGAATTTTTTTTTTTTTAGTTTTGTTTTGTTTTAATCAGTTTTGCTGCATTCAAGTTGTGTTGGGCTCAGCACCTGCATTACCTCTCTGTAAAGCTTGGAGCTGTTCCATGGGAGTATTAGTTGTCATGGAGAAATGTTAATGCTGGGGCTTTGGATTTAAAAATGACCCAAGTGGGTATTTCAAACAGATACACAGCCTATAAATCAGAGGCCTCATAAAGCACTCATGCAGTCTGGAAAGTGGCTGACTTGGATTTGGGCAGCAGTGAAGGGGCAGTTGTCACCCAACCCTCCACTTCAAATACAAGCTTAAGAAAATCAAAAATACAAAAACGAATGGAGGAAAAAAATGAAAAAGCTCCATAAATCTGGCTCTCTCCTATTCAGCTAGTCTGGAGAGCTATGATAGAGCTGAGGCAAATTATTTCTCTCTTGGACAAAGCTGAAAAAGTACATTTTAATGTAAACAATTCTAGTCAGTATTTAAAATGGTTTTAGTTTTACTTCCTTCAGTTTTGCAGTGAACCCCCATTTTTGGCAGTGTTCATTTTGGAGACTTTTGGGGAATAAGAAAGTCCCATTCTCTAAAAATTCTCTTTCTTTTTTGCTGGGCTGTATTTTCACACATGCTTTGCCAGGAGGGTGAGGGCTGATGCAGGGTCTCCTGTGCTTGCATGGGTTTATGGCTGCCAGTTCAGTGGCTCTGGCTGTCACTGTGCCGAGCTTGCAGGGACCTTTCTCATCTGGAAGTCTTCTTCCCTTGGTAGCACTTAGGCCTAGAATTGTTATTCATCCTAGAAACTCATAAGGAAAAGGTTATAGCTCATTATTTCCTTTGAAAAGTCATTTTTAATAGCCGATGTTGATAGATATCTTATTGACTCACAAGCCCTCCCTGTTCTTTTCATTGTGTTGTCTTCTCCTGGGGTTTCTGAAGCAGTAGGTCAAATTTGACTCACTGGTGTAACTGAGTAATGCCCTTGCTTCCATACAATTACTTGCCTCTCCCCAAAAAGCCATTTTTTCTTTCCACCAAACATAAGGATGCTGGAGCCCAAAACATTTCCTTCCATCTGAGGAATTTGTACTCTGAATGGGTCAATGGCTCACTGCAAGATGCTTGATGGTGGAGGCAACCTCTGTGGGAAACACAGCCCTTCTCTGCTGTCTTGATGGGTGATGTCATTGACCATCTGAGCCACCCGTCCTGGGGAAACTTGGCTTATTGCAGCCTAGCTTTTTGTCTGTATGGGTTTTATACAGGGGAAAATAATAATAATAAAAAAAGAAAAAGCTGGGGAGATGAGATCTTTGCACCTGGTCTTGTGTGGTCTTGGAAGGCAGGATAGGACACTGAACGTGGGAGCGTGAATGACAGGAGGGACCTGAGAGCTGGGGTCATCTTAACTTCTCTGTTTTATTTCCCTCTCTTCTTCAGGTGGATGAAATTTACCACGACGAGTCCCTGGGTGTTCACATCAACATTGTGCTGGTCAGGATGATCATGGTGGGATACCGCCAGGTAAATACAGTGCTTGGATATGATGAGAAGGAGATGCTATTCAGGCTGGCCCCTGCTTTTTAGCTGCTTTCCTGTCTCAAGTCCTGCCCCATGAGGAAAGGAGGGTTGCTGAAATGCAGTGTAGGCGCAGCAGGCAGCTGCCGCTTCTCCCAAGGCTGGCAAGTGTGCAGTGACACCATGGCTTTGAGTCTCATCACTGTAATATTTAGCACTTAAGTAAGCGCTGGCTTGGAAGAATGTGGCTGTTCAGATCATCTGTTGAAGCCCAAGTGACAACTGTGCTGAGCAGGGATGAATTCAAACCCTCATCTGGCTGGTTTCTGGAGCCTGAAGGTCCGGAGAGCCCCATAGCTGCCCAGCCCCAGGGCAAAGAGAGGTCCCTGGGGAGAAGGCGGGTGACTGTGGTCAACCTTTATCTGCTTGTTCTGGGTGCGGGAAGAATTGCGAGGGGCTTTCTCAGAAGCTGGAGAGTAGCAGTAGATGATGAGACTAAGGTGGCTTCCCAAGTTGGTAGGAGGTGGGTATTAGTGAGGAGAAGCCAAGGCCAGGATCTCCTGTGTCACAGGCTTGACTTGGCAGCCCTGGAAGATTTCTCTGGCTGTCCTGCAGCTCTCAGGTGGCTTGGGCATGGATAGAAAAAATGTGGGAAGATTTCTTGTGGTTTCTCATTTATTTTTTTGAGGCTTGCTTGAGCAGAGAAGGCTGATGATTTTCTTTAAAACAACTTGATTTGCGATACTTTTTGTGGCAAGCCCCTGTCCTACATGAAGCATTTTTGCAAGTGATTCAACACGGCAGTGTCTCTGTGTGTGGTCTACAAATAAGACCCATGAGGTCTTGGAAAAAGCCCTGCTTGTTACAGAAATCTGCTTGGCTGGAAGAAACCCAGTGCATTCTAGAGTCTTGGGAATGGTTCTAAGGGGGAGGGACAAAGACAGAGGTTGGCTCATCTTTGGAGGCTTCTGGGGGACCAGGAACATCATCTCCATGCGAGAAACTCAGTAATCCTCCCAGTGGTGGGAGTTCCTCCCATCAGTGTTAGTGCTATGGGCTGGAGGATGATATATGGAGGAGAAGGGATACAGAACTGTGGTGTTACAGCCAATAACCAAAGAGAGGAGAACCGAAGGGCTCTGTTTAGGATGATTTATCCTCCTAAAAGCCTGTGCTGGAGGCAGCTGCTTTGTCTGTTACATTACTGCTTGGGTTTGGGGGATGATGTGAGAAGTAATGAGCAGATGGTTGAATCCAGGAGAGGTCTCAGCTCACTACTGCTTAGGTCTGATGCTTCCTGAGCAAGGCCTCCTGCAGCTTCTTGTCTTCCACCTTGTTCTTGGTAGGGTTAAACCTCAATGGCTTCCACTCAAGAGGCAGAGGAAGGGCAATATTTCTTACCTTTCTTCCTACTGCTGTGGTTCAGTGGGTACCTGCCTGAGAGCATAATTTATTTTATAGAATATAATTTATACGGCGTAATTTTGCAAAGTGCTAATCTTGAACAACAACAACAACAACAAAAAGATGAAGGACAAGGTGCCAGCTATGAAACAATCCTGGACACTTCCACCTGCTTTCTACTGGAGTCTTGATCTCTGTAGGTCAAGTTTTACAGGGAAGCATTGCTTTGCTTATTGCATCAAACCTTGTGAAGTCTTGATGAGGAGCTTGTGCAGGAGCTGGAAATCTGAGACCTCTTTGCTTCCCAGCTGCTATCTTCTTTTTTATACTGCTGCCCCAAGCACTCCTGTGATCAGAGAGGGTCATATACCTTCTTGTATGAGACCACATCCGTTTGTGGGAGTGATTTCTTTGGTGTTTTTAAATTTTAAGAAGTGCAAGATGCCTTGCAGATGCCAAGTGGGGTTTTGTTGCTTCTAATGATGGAGAAGCACTGCTTTAGTAGTCTTTCCAACCCCAGAACTCCTGCTGCAGGTTCCTTCTCCTCCACTAACTTACCCATCTCTTTTTCTTCTTCTTTTTTTTTCATTCTTTACCCAGTCAGTCAGCCTGATAGAGCGAGGGAATCCATCTCGGAGCTTGGAGCAGGTCTGCCGCTGGGCTCACTCACAGCAGCGCTCTGACCCGAAGCATGCCGAGTACCATGACCATGCTGTATTTCTCACCAGGCAAGATTTTGGTCCCGCAGGTATGCAAGGTACTGTATTTATCTCGATCAGGTATGTGCAGTTTGCTGGGGGAAAGCCAGCAAGGGGAGAGGATTTCTTGCAAACACAGTCTGATTTTTGCCAGCAGGGTCCAGAAAAAGGTTATAAAAATTGGTATTCTTTTAGTGTCAAGTAGAAGAAAGAATTAATGCAGAGCATCAACCTGAACAAATAACAAAATCATCTTCATTAATTCTACCCTTATTGTGGCTTCATGCACCAAACCTCCACTTGTCCCAAAGTGCCTTAAAAAGTTTAAAAATAACATAAAAAAGATGGAATGCGGCAGGGAGCTTCACAGGGCCAGTCAGTCCTTTTTGTCCTCTGGTTACAATCTGGTTTTATGTGGGTCGGTTTCTTGGTCCTATTAGAACTTGGGCCTGGGAGCATTGAGTAAACCTTGGCCCAAAGAGGTGGTCTTACTGCAGTCTGCAATGCCAGTGGCAATAGTCCTCTCACCCTTCTGGTGCAGGAGCTATGGTGACATGGTCTGAGAACTTAGAGACCTAGGCAAAGAAACCAAAAAACCTTAAGGAAAAGCTGTTGGTATTTCACAGCTCCATTAGAAAAGCAGAAAAGCCACACTGGTTGAAAGACGACTTTCCCATCAGGAGACTCCATCTGGTACCATGAACATGCTGATAATATCACACTGATTTATAGCCCAAGTCCTTCTCATGTGCATGGGAGGAAGGAGAGATGGAGAAGAAGTCCTGTCCTCCCCTTGATTACCTCCCTGAAAAGGGTCTCCCTGCAGCAGGGGATGAACCACTGGAGATACCCAGCTGGAAGCCCTCTTGAACATGCTTGTTGGTCTTCAAAGAGCTGAGCTTGGGTCGTGCCAACAACCTCCCTGGTGAGTTGTTGACCTGCCTTGGGATCCTTGTCTGGTGAAATACCAGGTTTTGTTTCGTTTTTCTAGACCCTTGCTGGCAAAGTGATTGTGTCCAAAGGAGTTGGTGAGAGGACCTTTTTTGGCATGTTGGCAGAAGGGGGAGGCCCACTGGACTCCCCCTTGGTGGGAAGGAGTCATGAGATCGATGGAGTAGCCCTTCTGTAGGTGTGCTTGTTCCAGCTCCTTCCTGTTTTCCCTGTGGATCTGGCTCCCCGCTTTTCACATATCTCTGGGATGGAGGTTTGCTTTCTGTAGAAGTCCCTGTGACTGCTGTGTCCTTGCCTGGCCACGTTGCATGGCACAAGGTGAAGGTGCTTCTCACCCACTGGGAACTGCCCTCTCATTGGGCTGCTGGAATAGTAACACTTTGCTCACTGTTGCCTCTTTTCCTTAAAACAAAGCCCTTTTAGATCCCTATTGCCTCTTTTCAGCTCAGGGCTACATGCAATGAAGGCCCAGACTGTGGCACCTCCAATACTTGTTCATGGTGCATGTTCACTGATGGTATCTTATGTGGCTTGCTGAGGTGATGGCAAATGCCTGCTGGCTTCTTTAGCCAATGCTGTATGGATATGTGCTGGTTGGGAAGCATCTGCCATGCTCATACATGTCCTGAAGCTGAGCTGAAGGCAGAGGTGGTTCCACCCCGAAGACCCTACAGCCCAAATCAGCAAGCCAGGAGAAAGGAAGCTATTGAGTATGAAGTCTTCCAAGTCACAGGGACCTGGGAATGGAGTCTAAATGGCAAGCCTGTGCCTCATCATTCCTTACACTTGTAAGCAATTCCTTAGACCAATAAGCAATGGAGACAGGGCTGAATCTGACTGATTTACCTGCACAGTCCTCTTAGCCCAGGCTATTTCCATGCCAGCAAGTCAGCCATGCTCCACCATCACATCCCCACCACACATGGCTTGTACCTCCCCCTGTGTCATGTTACCTCCCCTTGGCTAGTGAACTAGACCAGTGTCAGGTCTAGTGCAGCACTGGATGCAAACCCTCGCAAAGCATTGCAGTCTTGTGGTGTAGCTCTTTGTTGCAGGTCCAAGCCGAGCCCTTAGGAGGTCTACAAAAACTTCTGTGCTGGCAACAGCCCTGCTCATGGCATCTCTTGATGGGGATGGGAGCAATTGTGGCCAATGTGGAGAAATTCTGAGAAGCTGATGCCATTGTTGCTTTGGTAATCGAGGGAAGCTGGAAGGTGTGAAGGGGAAGGACTGGGAGGGACAGCTAAGCTGTGCTGCTCTCGCGTGTGGGTTGCAAATAAACTCCTGCCCTCAAAAGAGAAATACGTCTTGGTGGTGACAGATAGGTTGTAAATTTCTGGTCCAGGGTGAAGCATACTTTTGCTTAGATTTAATTTGTTTCCCCATAATCACCTACAGTTGGTCTTTGAGCACACTGGTGGTCCACGGTGGTCAGAGAGTCTGAAAGCAGGTAGGAAATGTCCATAAAGATGAATAAAGTGCGTTTGGAGGAAGCAAGAGGCTGGTTGGTGTCTTGTCAGTATGGTGAAGACACATGCTTCTCCTATGTGTGTCTGCTAAGCGTTTGCAGGCTAATTTAGTTTTTACTAATTGAGTATTTTCCAGGTAGTTACTTCTTGACATCATTCTGTGGAGAAGCCTTTATACTTCTAGTTCTCACTGGGGTCTTCTTTATGGGAAGGTAGTGTCTGCCTTCCTGAGCATACATCTTTTCATATTCTTTTGTCCCATCTTGCATCCAGACATCCAGAGCCTCTTTGGTTGGGAATTTGTCTTGTTTTCATCCTAGACAAACTACATTTGCTCTCCCCTTGTACAGAAGACTTTCCACATCTTAATTCTTTCTTGTGGAAAGTTTTATGGGGGAATCTTTTAAAATGATCTATCCAGGATTTGACTCATTACTGTATGGTTAAACCCAGTTATCTGATTCTCTCTCTCAAGGTCTTAGTTTGGCCTGTTACCTTTTGACTGCATTATCTGCTGAGCATGTAATTTCTTCACTTTCTTTCTTAAGATGTTTTAGTTTATTTGTTCATTGAAGTAAGTCTCATTGTCCACCTGAATGTGGGGAGGAAGATGGAAAACAAATGCTTCCCTTATTAAATAAAACCACAAGTGTATTTATTGAAGCAGGCTGCTTTGAGGAGATCCTTGCTGTTGTGGGTGTTTCCCTGAGGTTACATGGTATTTTGCAGGCGCAAGCGAATTCGCTCTGCACATAATGAGAATTGGGTATTTATTTAATCTTGGGCTTTTTGCTTGGTAGCATGGGTTCACCCAACTTCTTCGCTTGGAGCTAAGGCAAAAATGCATCTGCTGCTTCCCACAAAATAGTGTGTGAGTGAACCCTTCAAAGGCTTGTGTCTGGGCTTGTTTTGAAAAATTAAATTATGATGATGAGGGAAGTTTCCTTTAGAAGTTCCAATGGTCACCTTGGAAGTTCTCTGCCCAGCTGGTAAATAGAAATATTGAAGGAAACACTTGCCCCAAAACCCCTTGGTTTTGCTTTATGCCTGGGGTGGCGGTAACTTCTGGGTGTCCAGTGGTGCAGCAGCAACCCATCCCTTGTCCCATCAGACATCTGATCCACTCAGTGCACCCACAAAGTCAACTACTGTTGACTTTAGGGCAGAGCTGTAGGAAGCCTTTTTGTTTTGCTTTTATCTGTTGTCCTTTGCCAGCTGTGGAATTAAGCTGAGAGCAATCACATCCTTTCCTCTCCACCTTCTTCCAGGGCAATTAGTCATGAATTGCTGGCTTGGTGTGGCCCACAAGGATGGTGGCACATGGGCTCTGTGGACCCCATGTTTTGCCCAGGGTGTGTGCAGGAGCACAGGCATGGGGGTGTTCACCCACCCTCAGCTCATTGGTACCCTTCTCCTACTGCAGCTCTGCGTTCCTCTTGGCTCACTGAGCTTTCCTCTTCAAGCATCCCTATCCCCAGAGCAGACTTCTCCAGCATGGTCCTGTTCTGCTTTTGCTACTTGGACCTGTAAGTCCTTCCTTCACTAACTTCATATCCCTTGATGCCAAAAACGGTCAGTCTTAAAAAAAATAAAAAAGGAAAAAATAAATTGGGAAGCAATTTCTAGATGGTGCCAAGGGATTAATTGAATTGGGCAGAAATAATGTGGGAAGGAAAATAATCCAAAATTGTGATGGTGCGTTACTGAATGGTGGGGGGAAGACTTCTCTGCCTGCAGCTGCCCCACTGCACTGCACTTGATCGAGGGCTGGGGGGCTGGGGAGGTGCATGGTCCTCCTCAGCTCTGTTTGCCAGGGGGGTGCCCCCTTGCCTGGGGCTGGTGTGGGTGCATGTGTGGGTGCATTGCAGGGGTCCTCCATAGCCTGCAGTGAGCAAGGCTGTATTTTTGGTGGGGTTCTGAGGGACATCTTGTGCCTTTCATTCTCTTTCTTCCTTTCTTCTTTATGTTTTTTTAATAAAGTTGAATGCGGGGAATGTTATTTCTGGGCTGAGAGGTAGTGGTCACCAGCCCTGGTAAAGCACCCATGGGTCCCTTTGCTGCCCTCTTGCTGGCTCAGGTATATTGGCATGAAGACAGAAAGTTATCGGTGAGCCTCAGCATAACCACAGCTTGCTTTTGCCACTGGCAGCCTGGATGGTCATACTGGTGAGGAGGTCCTTGGGCTACTGTACAAGTGACCTGGGCAGCTTCTCCTCTTCAGCACCTTCCTGTTTGTTTTCTCCTCCTGTTGCAGCAAAGCCAGGCTGCAGGGTTTGGTTTGGTTTTGGATTTTTTTAATGTTTTATTTTTTTGCCCCCCCTCAAAGGTTTTCTCTCTCCTCTCTTCCTCTATCTTTCCACTCTCTCTTGCCCCAGGCTATGCACCAGTGACAGGGATGTGCCACCCACTCCGCAGCTGCACCCTCAACCATGAAGATGGCTTCTCCTCGGCATTCGTCGTTGCCCATGAGACTGGCCACGTGTAAGTCACAGGGGCAGAGCTGGCTGTCCCCTTCTTTGGGGGAAAAAGCATGGTGGAACCCCTTCCTTTTCAAAAGAGACTTTCTGCTAGTGCAGATGTGTGTACCACTGTGGCATCTAATGGGCTGGTGTAAATCCCCCAGGAACCTGACTTGACACCAGCTTTTCCCATCAGGTTAGGCATGGAGCATGATGGCCAGGGCAATCGCTGTGCTGATGAGACCAGCATGGGGAGCATCATGGCACCACTGGTCCAGGCTGCCTTCCATCGCTACCACTGGTCCCGCTGCAGCAAGCAGGAGCTCAACCGCTACATTCAGTAAGTCAGTTTTAACCAGGAGGGGCTGTTCTCCCTTCAGATGGTGAGATGATTGCCTGCATTCTGTACCCAGCAGCTCCTGCATGAAGCAAGCAGTGGACAAGTCCCCATTGGGACTGCTTGTTTTGGCCAGAATAGTAAAAATGAGTCCTTGGGAAGTTATTTTCTGTTTTTCTTCTACTAACAGCTTTGGTTCCTTGGTCTAGTCTGAATTCATTTTGAGCTGTGGATGCTGGAGGCAAATAGGAGCCTGATGAAAGCTGGAGCTGTCAACAGAGCAGTAGTTTGAAGCTCTGTGCTGGTGGAGCCCACATCCAGATCGCAGATATTTTGCCGTTTGCTTTGGGCAGCCTGTGTGGTTTTCCCTTTAGGCTATAAAACATTCTGTGCTGCATAATAAGGTGTAGAAACGGGCCATGAGGTTTCTGAGTGTCAGAGCCAAGAGCAGCAGGAAAGCAGGTGGCAGTGGTAGTACCCACTGGTGCCAATGTGCTCTTTTCCCTAGGGAGCTGCATTCAGCGGAGGGATGCTTGTCTTTAATTGACTCTGCACAGTTGGTCTTTGCTGGACACATTTTTCAGTGCCAAGATGAATCAGATTTCTCAGTATCTGAACTGGAGAGAGAGCTGGAGGTGAGGGAGGGTGTGAAGAAGGGAAACCTTCCATGTCTGACTGTTTTGCCCTCCTTCTCTGCAGCTCTTATGACTGCCTCCTGGATGACCCTTTTGAGCACCAGTGGCCCACACTACCCGAGCTGCCAGGTATTAACTACTCCATGGATGAGCAGTGCCGCTTCGACTTTGGAGTGGGCTACAAAACGTGCACTGCGGTGAGTAGGGGTTGCATGGCCACATTGCCACCCCCCAGGACCCCCAGCCAGGTGCTGTGGGGCAAGGAGGGGTGCTGTGAGCCTACTGGGACATGCCGCTGCCGTCCCAGCCCAGCTCCTCTGTGCTCCCCAGTTCCGCACCTTTGACCCCTGCAAGCAGCTGTGGTGCAGCCACCCAGACAACCCCTACTTCTGCAAGACCAAGAAGGGGCCACCCTTGGATGGAACCGAGTGCTCTCCAGGCAAGGTAGAGACTGGTCCTTCATGTCTGTTTCTTGGGAGGGGACAGTGACACCCTTGAGGGCAGCAGTCAGTGGGTGCCCATTCTTAGCTGGTGCCAGTTCTTAACTGGCATTACTCCTTATTTTCCCCAGTCTCTGCTCAGATGAGGACTTTGCTTTTCTTCTGATCTGCCTGCTTCTGCAGAGAAGCAGGTCTGTTTTGTCACCTGGCAAAAGAGCAATGCCATCATTGCACGTACAATGTCACGATGGCATCAGCTTTTACTTTAGGTTCTCTTAGCATGCCTGTTAGCACAGTATGAAAGTGTGGATACGTTGGAAAAGCTGCTGGCCCATGTAGGTTTTGGGTGGTTCTTTGCCAGAGAATGGCTTGATGCAAAGTATCCAGCACCTTATGATGAGTATCTGTATAAATTCCAACAATGTCGTTGAGAATGCAGTCTTCTCGAGTGCTTCAATGATGCTTTGCTAAAAGGTTCCAAAATAAGGCTTTTTGGAACGCATACAGATGTTTTACATGTCGTGCTGGCACGTGGCTCCAGGTGACTGCAGCATCTACACTGGGAGGTCCATGGGCTGGTCAGTGTTTTGCCTCTTCGGGGACCTCACCTGCATCTGTCACAGTGGCCACTGAAGGCACCATTGGCTTTTTGCCAGGGCTGGAGTTAAACCCTGGGTCTGGGTGCCCATGGGGTGATGCTGCAGCTTCGTGCCAGGCGTAGTTACATGCCTGGGAAGAAGTGCAGAGCTCTTTATTTTGCTTACTGAAAACAAAACAGCTTGCTGCTGTGCACCACGCAAAAGTTTGGGTTCGTCCTCCTGTGCCAGAAGGGAGACATCCCCAGAGCTGGTCCAGTCCTCGGCCCAGGTATAATTCACTGCCTGTCCAAGGATCAGCGTGGGTAGAAAGAGGAGTTCAGTTGCAGACAGAAAACCAGTCCAAAAGCTCAAAAATACAGTGTTACAAAAAGAAATCCAAAGGGATTTGTTTTGCAGAGGGATCTTTGCCAGGCTTGTGCCTTTAGCAGCCTTTTGCACAGGTTTGTCCTCCGTCTGTGCAGCTGCATGGCTCGTGTATCATGTCTGGAGCAAATCAAACCTCCTTCATTGCCCACTTTTCCAGCTATCATTTGAAAAACTAAAATACTTGCGACCAAGTAAACCCCAGAGAAAAACACGATAGTATAACCCAGCTGCCGGCTTCCCAGCTGATGTAAACCACCACTGTGCAGGCTTTTCTATATCAGATTCAAGCACAGATGTGTTGGGAACCTGCCCTGCTTATTCCTGTTCCTCTGCTGCATTTTCTGCTGTGAGTCCCAGCTGTAGAGCTGTGCTGGGCTCTTGGAGCAAAGCCACCCGTCTCTTTCTTCCCTTCTAGTGGTGCTTCAAAGGTCACTGCATCTGGAAGACGTCAGAGCAGCCTTATAGCCAGGATGGCAGCTGGAGCTCCTGGTCCAAGTTTGGCTCATGCTCCAGGACCTGTGGTGGAGGCGTGCGCACTCGCAGCCGGAGCTGTGACAACCCACCGTACGTTTGGTCTCTGCCTCCGTCTCTTTTAGCGGGGGTAAAACAAAGTGGCTGAGAGCCAGAGGTTCCTCGCTCTTCCACTTGTTCCCCTCCTTGGCAGGGATGGGGACGTCTGCTCCTGTGTGACCTGTGCCATGCAATTGGGCGCTGAGCTGTGTTGTGTTTGAACAGCATTTCCCACCCCCCAACCCCGACACAATTTCAACCCACCTGCTTTATTTTCCAGCCCAGCATATGGTGGGCGTCACTGTCCAGGATCCACCTATGAGTACCAAGTGTGCAATGCTGAGGAGTGCCCGGGGCCCTACCAGGATTTCCGTGCCCAGCAGTGCTCCAAGCGCAACTCCTACTACACCCACCAGAACAGCAAGCACTCCTGGCTTCCCTATGAGCATCACGACGGTGAGCGGCAGCAGGTCCTAGCAAAGGAGCGGTAGCCAAATTACCTTCTCCCCTGGACTAGGCTGCACTGGTGGCCATCACCATGGAATGGAGACTATGCCAGCTGCACAGATGTTGGGTTGTGGAAAGCTCCTGAGGTGGAAACTAGAGTGCAGTAAACCAGCATCAAGCAGCCAGGTCTTTAAAATCAATCTCTTATGCTTGTCCTCAGGTGACCCATAGGGAACCCAGACATACTCTGGTTCCTTCTGTCTCAAAGTGCAGCAGAGTTGGGCTGGGATCAGCCCATGTTCAAATCTCTCCCTGCTCCTCCTGTGCTAGGAAAATGAGAGCCCCTTGTAATGGTAGCCACAGATAACTCTGTGCTACTTTAAAAGTTTTATCTCTGTTTTCTGTGTGCTTTGGCACGCAGAGGACTTGTTTTCCTTGGAGACGGTGGGGTGATGGCCCTGCCTGCTTGCTCCCGGAGCCACAGTGGGGGAGCGTGCTGCTCCAGGCTGGGATGGGAGCCAGGTCTGTCTGCCTGGCTTGGTATTCCTCATGCACACAGCCAAGTGTCTTGCATTGTTGTATCTCATAGCGTGTCTTGTCCAGCCGCCTTCTCTTAATTTTCTGAGTGTGCTGGGCAAAAGTGCAGACTCTTGAGCAGCAAAAAGGTGCAGCAAAATAAGGCTTATGAATAGGCTGGGCTTTGGAAATCTGGCTGTGCTCATGGTTACAGGCTGAGATGGTTTTCTGTCTTCAGTCACCCTAATGTATTTCCACAACCCCCCTTTTTTTTTTGTTTTCTCCTTTTTCCCCTTTTTGTTTTGCCTCAGATGCTCAGAAGTGTGAGCTGATCTGCCAGTCCGAGGGAACAGGGGATGTGGTGTTCATGAATCAGGTCGTTCACGATGGTACCCGGTGCAGCTACCGAGACCCCTACAGCATCTGTGTCCGTGGCGAGTGCGTGGTGAGGAGACGACAGCTGCTGCATGACCATCTCTGTCCTTTGCCTGTCCAGGAGAATGCTTGCGCATCCCCTTGACCCACTCACTACTCCTTGGGGATGCATGTTTTAGCCTGGGGACTGACCCTAAGGGCAGCAAAGAGCTATGGGGATGGTGGAGCAATGGGAATGGTTGCAGGCATGTAACTCTGCTTGTCTTCTCTTCCCCACGGGTGACAGCACGTTGGCTGTGACAAGGAGGTTGGCTCCCTGAAGCAGGATGACAAGTGTGGGGTCTGTGGAGGGGACAATTCCCACTGCCGGACTGTGAAGGGCACACTGGCCAAGACCCCGAAGCAGCCAGGTGAGCAGGCTGGATGGATTTGGGAGTGGATTTGGTCAGGGTAGGCTGGATTCACATGTGGCTGTGAGCGAATGTGTGTCTGGTTGGAGAACACCTGCCTTTTCCTCCATCCTTCCTCCTTCTCTTTCAGCAAGTGTTTTGAAGATGTTTGAAATTCCGGCTGGAGCTAGGCACCTTCAGATAGAAGAGATGGAGCCAGCATCCCATAGCATCGGTGAGTTTGCTGTCTCCCTTCACCCACTACCTTTTTTAGCCCTGACAGTTCCCACGCAAAGGGTCTTATTTGAGTCATTCCAGTCCTTCAAAGGCAATGACCAAAGGAAATGATGTTGAAATACCTCCTTTTTTCCTCCAGCTGTTAAGAATCAAGCCACGGGTAATTTTGTCCTTAATGCTAAGGGTAAAGAAGCCAAAAGCCATGTGTTCATTGAGATGGGATTGGAATGGGAATACACTGTTGAACATGGCAAGGAGAGCCTGAAAACCAGTGGTCCTCTGCATGAGGCCATCAGTGTTTTGGTAAGTCTGGTTTACACATGCTCTGCGGGTGTGGGATGTCCATTACCCAGTGGTATAGAGAGGGAAGGTGGTCCGTGATGGGATCTGGGAGGTGATGGAAGGACTTTGGTAGAGAAGGGATGTAGGGCATGTCATTAAAACTGGGTGAATGAGCTAGCCAAAAGCAAGAGACAGTGAGCTGCGTGCAGGAATGGCATAAGGATACATCACTTGGGTTCTTGCCTTTGAGGCTAACCATATTTTGCTCTATGCAGCAATTGGTTATGACTCCATACCTCATTTTAGTTATACTGCCATTTTAGGTAGTTAGGTATTGGGTTTCCTGGGTGCTTGAGGAAGGATAGGTCTGCACTCCCTTCCATCCCCTTGGCCGGTGCTTGCTTTGGGTGTAGACTGTGAATCTGCAGGTCAGAGGAGAGTCCAGGGACTTACGACCCAAGGCTGGAGAGTTGGGTCGTTTGGGCAGCGTTTTACTCCACAGCTGGAGAGATGTGTTCTCGAAGGGTAAATTCTGCATTCAGAGCCCACCTAATCATGTTTGAGGTAGTAATGTGGTTTGTTTCTCCTACAGTGTGTACTGTACCGTTGTTTACTTCTTTTTGTTTTGATGGCCTCGTCTTCCCTTCTCTCTCCCATGGCATCTCTCCTCCTTCTCCTTCCCCTTCTTCAATTGTCTTCTCTGCCCACAGGTCATCCCTCAGGAGGAGGAAGCAAGGAGCAGCCTGATGTACCGGTACATCATCCATGAGGACCTGCTGCCCATGATTGGAAACAACAATGTCCTGCTGGAGGAGATGGATTCCTATGAGTGGGCCCTCAAGAGCTGGTCTCAGTGCTCCAAGGCGTGCGGAGGAGGTAGCTTTCCCTTTGTAGCAGCCTACAGTGTGTGCTTGGGAGGATGCTCGGGTATGTTAGGCAGTGCATGAGCCCTTTGGAACACCTCTGGCTTGGAGACATGCAGATGCTGTTTTAAAGTGTTTCTCAACAAGATCGCATGTTGCAAGGCTTTACACCTAGACTTGGTACTGCTTGGAGGCCTGGCTTTCTTTTCCACACCCATACCCATGTTCTTTGCACCCCTGTAATTTGGAGGATCTACCACACAGGAATATAAGTGTTAAAAAACATTATTGCAGCGCAGTTTAGAGGAGCATTTTGTCACAGAATCTTAGAACAGTTAGGCTTGGAAAGGACCTTAAGATCATCTAGTTCTCCTTTGGACTGATGTCTTATGAAAACGGGCTTATGTGATCATGTTTGCATACCTATGTCTGTCTATCCATGTACCTACTATGATTTTTTTAATTCCTTGGCTGTTTTTAAGTGGATTTGAGCCAAGGAGTCTTGCAGATGACTGCTCCTTAAGCCTGGGTGAAGTGCTGCTTGGGTCCCACCTGAGTGGTGACATCTGAGAGCACACGTCCTGCAGGAATGCAGGAGAGGGACTGGGTGGAGAGCTGGTGGGAGCCCTGCACCCATTGCCTCACCCCCCATGCTGTGCCCTGCCAGGCATCCAGTACACCAAGTATGGCTGCCGGCGGAAAAGCGACAACCGGATGGTGCATAGAAACTTCTGTGACAATGGCAAGAAGCCGAAGCCGATCCGGCGGCGTTGTAACCTCCAGGAGTGCTCCCAGCCAATGTGAGTAGTCCTTGGCTGGCCCGAGGTGTTTTCATCTCCTCTATGGGGATACTGTGGGCCTCATTGGGAGTGCACCAGCAGCTTCCTAGTGTGGGCATCTCCTCTAACACCTTTGCCCTGTCCATCTTCTCCCCGCTGGCAGCTGGGTGGCCGAGGATTGGGGCGCCTGCAGCAGGTCCTGCGGCAAGCTGGGGGTGCAGGCACGGGTGGTGCAGTGCGTGCAGCGCCTGCAGGACGGCACCAACCGCACCCTGCACACCAAGTACTGCCCTGGGCAGCGCCCCGAGACGCGCCGGCCCTGCAGCCGCCTGCCCTGCCCTGCACAGTGGAGGACGGGCGCGTGGTCCGAGGTGAGCTGGGAGGGGTGGGGAAGCCCTCCGGTGAACAGCAGGGTCAGGAGGAGGGTACAGGAGCTGGGTGTGAAGGCCAGGTGCTTATGGAGCAGGCTGCTCTCTTAGGCGTGGTGATAAAGGTAAAAGAGCCAGTGATGTTTTCACTAAGGCTTGTGGGGAAACTCAGAATTAGACAAGAGATAGCATCACTGTGCACCCCAGTGGAGCGCAGGGAGGGTTTGCTATAAAGGGACAGGGAAAGCCCTTACTAGAAAGCACCACCCACCTGAGGAGTTGTATGTGCCGGTACTTGTGAATACTTGCCCTCGGATGGCTGTCAGGGCACGCTGTTTTCCTCACCCCACCACCGACTGTCTGTGTGTTTGTGCACAGTGCTCGGCCAGCTGCGGGGAAGGCGTCCAGCAGCGGCAAGTGCTGTGCAAAGGCAGCGAGAACGGTGCGCTCTGCGAAGGGGACAAGCCAGAGGCCGTTCAGGGCTGCCACGTGGCCGTCTGCCCGGGTGAGAGAAGGAGCAGGAGGGGATGGTGCTTGCGGGGGGCACGCGCTGACAGGGACCAACCTTCATACTGTCCTCCAGCCCACCTCAGCTTCCGGGGATGCCAACAAAGAAGGCTGGGTTGAACATCCCTGATGCCGCTGGCAGAGAAAGGGTTGAAGGCCAGCCTAAATATTGTCACTTTGCTGTTCTGGGCTGTGATATTTGTTGCAGATGGTGTTGGGTTTTCTGGCAGTTTAAGGATGTGATAAGCTGAAGGATACAATGGGGATTGGCACCCTGGAGTTCACCTTGGGGGTTTTTGGGTGACTTAAGTGCTGGGCCTACTGGCTGCTCATTTCTAAGGATATCCCTTAAAACAAAAAAGTTCCCCACCAAAACACCCTACCCAGCTATTTTGAGTGCCCCAGCCTCCTGTGCCAACTGGACATCGTGGTGCTTTCTCCGCAGAGAAGCTCTCTGGCATCACCACCAGTGCTGACACCAGTGACCGTGGCACATCCAAAGGACAGCGGGTGCCTCAGGATGGAGACAAAAACCCTGTTAGCAAGATCTCCTCCAGTAAGCATCCCTCCTCGGGTGAGGGTGATGCTCCCAAGGGCTTCTGCAGCTCTCCATGAAAACACAGGCGGGTTGGAGAGAGGACACACATCCAGCAGTGGTTCTGGGGAGCTCTGCCCTCTGCATCTCTGATGCCTCTGCTTGCAAAGCCTGCTGCTCGGTTGCCATCTTGTGGAGTCTGGGATCTTGCAGTTTCCACTGCCTTTGGCTGGGCACCGTGTTGCACTTCCCTTTGCCTCCTGCATTTTATGCCCTTTCCTTTTCACCTTGAACTTTTTTTCAGCCTGCATCAGTAACATGGCTGGGTTTTGCCCCTTGCTGCAAGCAAGGGTTTGCCTTGGAGTGCTTCACAGGTGGAGTGAGATGCGTCGCTATCTAGTTTAAGATGCTGGTTTGGAGCATCGCTTACTCTCTGTTCTTTTCTCCTATGCACAAAAACCTTGAGCATTTTGCTTTGTTTTCCAACTCCCTCACTCCCCTTTCCTGTACAAGCATTGCCAGAATTGCTGCCTGGGGCAGAGAGCAAGAGTAGGTTTGACAGCACCCTGCAAAGGGGGTGGAAGTGCCTAGAAGTGCTCAGAAAACATGTGGATGAGGCCCTTAGTGACACGATTTAGTGGTGGACTTGGCAGTGCTGGAGTAATGGTTGGACTTGATGATCTTAAAGGTGTTTCCCAACCGAGCTGATTCTGTGATTGGAAGAGTGCAGTGGTGGGAGCAATGCCATAGTCTTTCATTCTGCCTGACACTGCTCTGTCCTTCTCCAGGGGAACCCTGCCTTGGGGACAAGTCCATCTTCTGCCAGATGGAGGTTCTGGCTCGCTACTGCTCCATCCCTGGCTACAACAAGCTCTGCTGTGAATCCTGCAGCAAGAAGGCATCCTCCACCACCAGCTCGCCCCTAGCCACCGGCCCCAGCGCTCTCCTGGGAACTGCTGCTCCCAGCCCTGCTCCCCTGCTCTCCCCCGGCCCCACTGCCTCTGCCCAGAGGGAACACCGGGGGGGCCCCACACCGGTGCCTCAGGCCGGGCCAGCCACCAGTGGAGGGATGCCCAGCAGCGGTGCTTTACCCAGGGGGCTGCCAGCCCCAAATGAGCCGGGCAGGGGCTATGCAGCCAGGTAACCCCTCAGGACACCTCCTCATGGGGCAGGGGAAACCTTTACCTCCCTCCCTCCCTCTCCTCCTCCCCCTCTTTTTCCTCTCTTCCCCCACCTTCCAGTGGTGGTTTTCATGGATGGCACTGCAGGGTTTGGAAACGACCCAGTCACCCAGAAATTGCCAGGAAAACCACTTCTTTCCCAAGATCCCCCTTGCCTTCCCAGCTGTGGCATGGTTTTTTGCTGTTGATAGCGCCACAGAAAAAAAGGCAAAAAGGAGCAAAGAAAGCATCAGCGGCTTGGCTGTGGGTAGACAGGCTGCTTCCTCCCACGGTGCTAAAAGGACTGGGGGTGGGTGGGATTTAATGTTGCTTTTTCCTTCCCCCTGCCCGAAGCAGCAACACCAGGTGTGCTGGACAGAAGGGTCCTGGAGGATGCTGGGAATATGGGGGGGGGGGGGGGGGGGGCAAAAGCAACCAGAGGTAGGTGGTAAGGTGTGGTGGGTGGGAATGTGGGGAAGTGCCCAGACTACCGCCCTGGCCTGTCCCTGTTGGGGTAGAGTGGAGGATGGAGTATAAGAAGCATAGACCAGCTTCTGTCTTTCATTGCAGGATAGGCAGAGATGGTCCAGGCAACATTAACAGGAGCAATAAGAATAAGGTGAAAGACCAAAAATACTTGTAAAAAATGCCTGTCACCTGGTGGTGACTTTTTAGCCAATATTGTCGTTGAGCTGATACCAATGCCTGGCCTCCCCAGGACCACCAGCCTGATCCCTGCACTCTGGTACCCAGTGCCTGTGGGGCATCAACACCATATGGAGGGAAACAGGGATGACTGGGAAGCTGGGAGTGGATTTTAGGGGCAGTTACAAAGCAAGGAGAGAGGAAGATTCATCTGCATCTTTTTTAATGGCATTAATCCTCCATTTCACTCCCTCCCGTGGAACAAAAATTAACTGTGCCAAGTACAAAATGTATGCACAGCACTTTAGGAACCTAGAGCTGCACACACCTTGCTTGGTGTCAGGATAGCTCCAGGCACAGGGTCTGCCTGGAGCAGTTACAGTCCTCAGAACCTCCCCAAAGCAGGATCAGGTGATATGCTGTGTCCCTGAGGACGCAGGCATGTTGTGATTTTGGTGCTTAGGGGTGTGCATCCTCCCAGCTGAGGGTATCCAGTGCCTCCAGGTGCAGTTGCAGGGGAAGGTGGGCTTCTGTGGGGGATGAACGCTGGTAGGGAGGAGGTTTGGGGGTCAGAGGGATGCAGGAGGGCAAGGCTTGGCAGATAGACCAGTTTGGCATTGCAAAGCAGGATCTCATGAGAGTATGTGCATGGTTGTGGGTCCATCTGCTGGCCCTGGAGGTGCTGCTTTTGGCCATCTGAGGAGGAGCAGGACAGGGCATCTCTGTGGGCTGTGCTGCGCAAGTTCTTCAGGTGTCTAGGGGCTTGCTGGTGAAATGGCCCAGGGTGCTTGACATGTACTGAGAGCCTGTGGGTGTAGGGCATGCTGCTGTTTGAGCCTGGTGTTTTCAGTGCTGTTGGTGCTGTCAGTGCTGTCGAAGCACTGCATTAGTAACACTCGTGGCTGCAAGAAACTTGAGGTTGGGGCATCTCAGAGGAACTCATGTCAGTGTGCATACCTTTGCTGGTTTGATGTAGGTTGTGGCGGGGGAGAGGTAGAGGTACATGCTTCAGTGGAAATGAATGGATACCCCTGTGCATTCCTGATGTTTTAAGCTTTGGACTCCTTCTGCAAAGCTCCCCTGGAGCTATTCAACAGTACAAAAAGGGCTAAAGAGATGTTAAGGCTGTAGCTTGTGCACTCTTCTGTCCCTGGATTGTCTCTGAATGTTAGAGCATTTATCTAATTACTTTTATAAGCACCTGAGATACGAGCTCCCTGCCTCTTGGGTGCTGCCCTTTGGCATTAAGTGGGCTTCACAAAAGATGGAAGGAAGCCACACATCTGTCTGAGCCAATAACCAGCACACCTCGTGGGAGCGGACAGATGGAGGGATGCCGATGAAACACAGCGGTGGGGTGCCCAGGTCCAAGGCGTACAGGTATTAGTACCTGTTGGATCAACAAGATACTGTGGATGTACGAGGGTGGGATTCATCCCTCCGACCACTGGCGCCGCTGCTGTACCCTGTGCCAGCCTATCCACCAGCGCCACCCTCCGTGGGGGTCAGCATTTATTTATTGTGCCAAAGATAATGCTTTGTTTACTCTTCAAGGAACGGCTCTCCCTAGTGGCAGAGGTTGGGGCCCATGCAAGCTGTCCCACACCCTATCCTGCTGCTGGAACAGCCCTGGGCTGGCTCGGGGCAGGACTGAACTTGCTTTGCCTTTCACTGCCCAAAGCAAGGCTTTTCTCAAGCGTTCAGCCCCCTGCCCTCTGGTATTTGAGCCATTGAATAAAAACAAAACCTTGGCCTGTCAAAAAAGGGCTGTAATGTCTCCAGGGTGCAGTATATGTGTGTGCATGCATGCATACATACCCACTCCTTCCTCCCAGATGCTCAGCTGCACCCCTCCCTTCAGTGCTGTCCTGGGCATTAGTGCTTGACTGTGTTAGGGATATTTGCGGTGGTTCCTTGCTATACCTCGGAGGAGAGCTGTGGCTCAGGGCTGGCCCAGCCCCTTGCAACCCGCAGCCAGGGCCCCTGGGGGGGGCTTCGGGGCAAGGGGGCTGTGCTGCAGGTGCTAAACCCCACCTCTAGCTGAGAGAGGTGGGTGAGATTTAAAACAGGGTGCGATAACCACCCCCTCTGCCACATTGAGTGCTCTGGGGGGTGATGCTGCAGGGCTGGGAGCCAGCCCTGGGTGCTTGTTCCAGGAGAGTGTAAGAAGCGCCTAGGGCAGGCTAAGGTTGAGTCGCTTCTTGCCCTGCAGATGTCGCAGTGCATGGAAAGCTGTGGCATGGTGATGTAGTGCTGCGATGGCCCAGCTGCCTGCAGGGATTTGGTGCTGTCACTGGGAGGAGAGGGTGCATCTGGTCCCTCGCATCCTCCTGGGCTTGGCAGGTACTCCAAGTCATTCCTGTGATGTAACCTTGTCCAGTGTTACAATGATGTATAAAGTTTTGTACATACGAGATTCAGAGCTTTTTAACTTTTAATATTTATTAATTTTGTTGGGTTCTTTTTTTTTTTTTTGAACTCTAACATAATGTAAAAAATAAAATAAATCCACATCAGGATCTCTTTCTGTTGATTTATTCAGGGGATGTGAGAGGCATGTAAATACGAGTGTGACCTGGTGTGGTGGTTGAAATGGTTTTCACACAAGCCACAGCCTCTTTATTTTATTTCAACCCAGCCCCCTGCTCCTTATCAGCCAGAGTTTCACATAGCTATTTTGAGGTGATTTTCCCCCACCTTAAATAAGACAAAGACTCAGCCAAACACACAGATGTATAAATTACAAGCACCCTGCAGTGGCTTTAATAACATGCTGAGATATGCAGCTGCTCAGTTTCACTCTTGCAAGGCTTGTTTCTAGCCGTGGTTGGTAGTGGCTTCATGGTACAACGCGCTTGTTCCCAGGGTGCAGAATAATGTCAGCATCACCGGACCAGCCATCCCTGCTGCTGCAAAGGCCTGTGGATGTGGGATGGCTGGTGATCTCCTGGGGATCCTCCTAGGATAAAACCCAGCAGGGGGTTTATCATGCTGCAGGTCTGCAGTGACAAGCTCCCTTAAATTCGTGGTCCTGGAGGGCATGATGCTGCCTTACAAGGTCATGGGGCTGAGTCTGACCCTGCTGCTGCCTTTTCCATTAGCTGCTTTCTGACGTGCCATGCCACCACCTCTCATGTTGCAGTACACTAAGTCAATTGGACTGATGATGGAAAGTACATTTCTGAAGCCCTGGGACATGGCTTTAGTATCATGCGCCTGCTCTGTCTGTGCCTGCTACTGTTGGTATTGCAGGAGAAAACCCTCTCTATTATGTACGTATACGCACACGTAAATATATAGCTTAGCCATTGCAAAAATTATAAATAAAGATGCATTACTGGTTCAGGCCAAGAAGAGCCCCTGAGCTTGCACTGACAACTCGGGCTATGGTCAGGTCATAAAGAACCATGAAAATGTTTGGGTAGCATCCCCTTGCTCCTGTGTATGGCAGAGAGGAGCGCTGCCGAACACCAGCTATTGTAGCTGCTCATGGGCAAGGTTTGGGCAAGGGCTTTTAGGTAACCTCTAATGCAAGGCTCAGTGTTGCCTCAGTTGCCCCAGTTTGCAGATGATCTGCTCCATCCCTGAAGCAGAAGCATGATGCTGGGTGCAGGACGTCCTCCAAGCTTGGGGTTGCTTGGTGGGTGTGGCGTATCAAAGACGACTCCAGTTCTGGTGAAATCTGAAGACCTTTATTTCCTCTTGCATCCCTTTTATAGTCTACTAAGTGCTAAGCAGTAACTTTCCACTCTTTTACTCCCTTATCATCCCGATTTAGCAAAACTACTAAGGGTTACAGGTATTCACAGTTTCTTCTGTCTTTGAGGTGCACATCCTGCTTTATCTTGCAAACCGCCTGCTTTGTTTTGCTAACCGATCTGTACCCTTCATTGTTCTCTTTACAGTTCCCAAAGCTTAGGCTGGAGCAGGGCATTAACACCTGGTGTTTTCTTCCCAAGGCTTAAGCCCATCCAGGGCAACAGCACCTGGTATTTTTCTTTACTGCTCCCAGGGCTTAAGCCGGACCAGGGCGATAAAACGCCTGGATCCATTTCTTAAACTATTTCTATCCCATCACCCACAGCTGGGTGCACTCTCACCCCATTGCTGGTAGCTGTGGATCCTTGATTGCGGCAGCAATGAGCAGGACAAGAATGGGTCTCCTGCTCAGTCAGTGTTCCTTGTGGTTGGACAGAGTGCATCCTTCTGCAACTCAAGGGCATGCAGTGGTAGAGAGGTGCCGGCCAAGGTGCTTGATGAAGTCTGCTTGGGACTGCGGCAGGACATGGTTAATGACAGACTTGGGAATCCAGCCCTTTGGGAGAGAAAACACCCCAGATTTGGTCCCACTGGGTCAAAGAGTTGGAGCACCCATCCCAGGGAGGAAGGCGCATTTGCACACTAGGATTCATATCCCTTGCTGTTGCATTGCACCCCAAGCAACATGTTAGCACTTGCCTTCAGGTCCATGTTCAGGAGCCAGGTGAAGCGGGTACGACTGGGGTCCCCTGCCAGTGGCTGCAGAACTATGCAGCTCAGCTGGGACTCGGCCCTGCGGTGGGCAAGGGAGCAGGCAGTTAAGATATACCCCAGGGGGAGCAAAACAGGGCAAGGAGATCCAGACCAAATGCAACAGAGGTAGCTCTTGGCATGCCTCTCTTGCTGTGCCTGGTGCAAACGTTCATGACTGCAACAGTGATCTCCTCCCTGCAGGGACATGGTACCCTGTGATGGTCATTTTGGGGGGGGGGCTTTACCTGATGCACCCTTCCTGTAGGGGCAGCTTCTCGATGTGGGTGGCAGTGCCCACCAGGTAGACGGCCGTCTCCTTCCTCCCGCGGTGCCGCACACTGACGAAATCCCGCTGGCCCACCAGGTTGCCTGGGCTGGGAGCGGTGACTTCGTGTGTCACCAGTGTGTCTGTCCCAATGCGCTGCAGCACCTACCAGAGCAAGGAGTGCCCCAGGGATTAGGCTTCTTGTGGCTACTCTTCTTGGGACATCCCTGGCACCTCCTTAACTGTGCCCAGGGGATGTTAAACCACCTCTGGGACAGCATCATGGGGTGGCAGCATGAGCAGAAACAGCAGCAAGGTCGTGGCTTAGGGCTGGCATCTGGTGATAATTAAATTCCAGTCCCTTGTCCTTTATTAAGAGGGAAAGTGGGTGATTTTTTTTTGCAGGTTTTTTTTTCACCTGGGCTGGGACCCTGCTATTTCTTTTTTTTAAAGGGACAGGGAAGTGATTGTAATAAGTAAGCAGAGGCTGGGTAGCATCTGAGCCAGCCCAGGTAAGCTAGGGGAGGCTTTCTGAGTCTGGCAGCTTGCTTAGTGATGCTGTGATTTGGCAGCTGAGTAATAAGGCAAATTCTCAACAGAAGCCCAAGACAACACGTAAGCTTCCTGGGGGTGCCCCCGCAGTGTGATATATTTGGTTTTGCCTCATTTTTTGAGCTGATTTCTCTGAACAGCTTCTTCCCTCACATTGAAGTCTGAGCAATGTCAGAGTCCCCCAGAGTGGAAAAACCTCTGTGACCAGGGACTGTGTAGAAAAAAGCTTGGAAACAACACGTTTCTCAGTGCCATGCCAGTAAAGCACGTCTTCTCTCCCTGGGCTGATATCCTGCTCTTGCAGGATGCAGGATTATCTTTAATCCTTCAGCAATCTTAAACCCCTCAATAACTATGACTTTTTTTTGATGCTAGCAACCCTGGTGATGCAGTGTCTGATGCCTGCCCATGATGGTATCTCTCTGCCTGTGGTGCATTCCTCCCCATTTTACCTTTACCGCACTGATGGCTGGGTTCCACTGGGGCATTTGCTCAATCCTCTCAAACAGCTCCCGGTGCAGCTGTGCCACCGGCATAGGCAGGACCACTTCAGCTCGAAACACCTTGCCCAGCCCAGGGAGGGCAGCGCTGGACATGGTGGCCCCATTGTCCTGGGAGAGCAGAGACACTGCATCAACCCCAATGTCCCAGGAGGCACTGGCTATGTGCTGAATGCCTCACCAATAAATCATCCCAGTCCCGTTTTTAATCACCCCTTGGTTTACAGGTGAAAGCTGTTATATCTAAATCGTGCTACTATGATTGCCTTTTTTTTTTTTTTTTTAAGCTCCCTTCTAGCCAAATTAAACAATTCAGCAAACACCTTAAAGAACAAACACTGTAAATAATAGCAAAGGGCAATCTGTTGGGTTTTTCTGCAGAAATGCTCCTGGCTTTCCCTGGGAACATTAATATCTGAGTTCCTCTTTCAAGCTTTTTCTTGCTGTCTATTGACTTTGCAGATCTGCTTGTGAACGTTTTTAACAAAGGTTTGCTTGGAAACCCTCTTTGCCGTGCATGCTTTTGCACAGCATCTCTCCTGCACCCACAGTTTCCCTTCAAGCAGGAGGACTAAGAGAAGCAAATCTCCCCTCCCCAGACTCATTTCTCCTCCTGAGAGCTTTTCTGGCGTGAAGCAGCAAAGGCAGGTAGTGGCCGGGCTTTACCAGTATCATTTCTGCCTGCCAGCTGGTGTGCTGCTGCAGGATGCTCAGTGCTTGCTGCAGGGCTGCTTCTCCCTGGGTGATGTAGGAGAGGTCCACACTGGAGAACTGGCTGGGGCTGGTGTCTCCAACCAGCTCAGTGCAGGCTGCAGGAACAAGGTAGAGCAATGTGAAAAGCCCCCCCCCCCCCCCCCCAGTATTGAAAAGCCCCCCCCCCCCCCTCCCCCGGCTTGATGCAGAAAACCTCACTCTCAGGAATATCCCTGGCATTCATTTGTGGTGTCTGTGCTGACTACTTGGAAAGGGTTTTGAAACTGTTTTCCAAATCAATTCCCAGTAACACTGTGGTACAAACTGCATGTTGTTGAGGTATTATTAACATTGCATAGGCAGCCTTTGGAGCAAGCTGCACTTCAAAAAAGTCCAGATGAATTTGCCGGTTTTGAAGTCTTTAGGTAAGTGGTGGAACTGAAGACACAGCAGACATGCAACAAAACACTGAAAAGTGACTGCAAGCTCTGCTAAATGCTTTGACTGCCTGTGTGGAGAGCCAGTGCAATTTACCTTCCCAGAATCTCAGGGTTTCCCCACTAACGCAATTTGCTATCAGTACAGGAATTGTTTTTAAGCTACCAAAGAGCTGGATACCAGCCCAGCAGTGAGAAGACAGTTAACTCTGTCCCACAAAATATGGTTCAATTCAGATGGAGAAGGGTGCATTTTAATACACATCCCTCTATCATGTGTTGCAAGGATGTTGTGAGCAGGGCTAGGAAATTTACCCAAGCACCCGCGCTGAGCTTACCTGTCTCCTTCCCCATCAGCCTCTGAATATAAGAAGGAATTTTGGAAGACAGGTGGTGGGACCCTCTTACCATCAGTGCTGTTGTGTCCCTCTGTATTGCTGCAATGGCTGTTGTCTTCAACCCTAGGGAGAGATATGTGGGCTTTGGCGAGCATGGAGCATGCGAGGAAGATGATGTGGTGCTCAGTGTCTCTGCTGGAAGCTCGTCTGGAGCTAAGACCAAGACTACTCTGTGCATGATACAACGTGGAAGAGAAAATAGTTGCATAGATGTGACCATAACCAAGGAGGCCTGTCCCAAGGGAATGCCCATTAGATGCAGACTTAGTATCTCCTTTAGGAATCTCTTTTCTGCCTGTCTTTCCTGAGGTTGGAGGGAAGCCAAGCAGTGCTTACCGGGCAGGTGGCGGAGGTGGTCATGGGCAATGCCGCAGCACAGCTTGATGGTGGCCTGCAGCATGATGCAGGAGCAGGGCTGCTTCTGGGAGAATGCTGCATCCCAGAGCATCTTTATAGCTGGCCTGAAGGACGGCACCTTACGATAGGACTGTGCTTCCACATAACGGCTGGGAATAAGGAGTACTCAAGGACAAGGCAAGTGAGAGGAGGGGCCAGAGGAAAAGGGAACACTTCCTTCTGAATAAGGAGTCCCTGCTTTTTTCTTTCCCTTTGCAGGCAGCTATGGATGAATGCATCTCTAAGGCACAGCTGAAACGGGGCACTTTAGTGGTCCCCAGTGCCACTTTATCAAGGGCTGTGGTGGCAAATCCAAGCTGGCAAAGGCAACTGGTGACACACGGAGGGAAGGATGGGGTGGGATATGAGAGCAATGTGGCTCTGGCTTCACTGTGGTGGGATATGAGAGCAATATATGAGATATATTGATATGAGATATCCCACTGGGGTGGGATATGAGAGCAATGTGGCTCTGGCTTCACTGTGGTGAAGAGTTATTGAGTAAGTAGGAAAAGCAGTGGCAGGAAACAACTATTTCCACACAAAGCTAATAGAATTAAATATAATTTCTTCTTTCTGAGCCGTGGTGTTGGGTCTGCTCAGGTGAGTGTTCACTCCCAGGAGCAGCCACTCACTGATGGGGTGACACTTGCAGCCCATCAGGCATCCCAGCAGCTGAGGAAGGCAGCAGCCTCTGCCAGTGCAGGGAGGTGGGCCAGAGCAGCAGCTTGTCCTTGTGTCACCCTTCACAGCCTCGTCCCACATGGAAGACAGTGACTATGGCTGTCTCACCAAATATGTTCTGGGCTGCTAATACCTTATTTCCCACAGCAAGCATCACATTCCTTCAATACTCCCACTATCAGCAGGGATGACGGTGGTAGAACAGTTTCCTAGAAAACATTCAGGTTTTTTTCCCCCATGCTTTTTTTTTTTTCCTGCTGTGCCAGAGGGTTTTATCGCAGCCCTACAGACTTGTTGGCTCAGCTCAGCCAGTTCCCAGGCCCCCTGCCTGACTCACCAGCCCCAATCCTGAGCTTTTCCCTAGGCTTTTCCTGCAGGAATAACCTTATGGCACAGCCACTGGTGCTTACACAGCTGTATCCCATTGCAGCTTCACAGCTTTCTCCTTCCATTTCTGACTGCTGGGCAGGTTATAACAGCAACCCCTTACTAGTGCTGCTCTTTGGATGCTCTGCTGCTCATTTGCGGTCTGCTTCATGGTCACTTCCTATGCAGTGGCACCCAGATAACTATCTCTGTGCATATCCTGTGCTTGCAGGAAAGCGCTGCAGATACGCCTGTGTGATGTACCTGGCCCAAAGCAGCTGCAAGCTTTGCAGCAGGAGCTTGGGAGGTACACAGCAGCACAACTGCAGCTCTATGGGAGATTTGTTATTGCCACAGCTCTCTGGTGCTGTGATTTACAATGCTGCTTTGGTGAGTTGCAAATCACTTTTTTTGTTTTGTTTCTGTTTCATGGGGTCTGGGGAGTCACTGGGGCCCAGCAGCTAGGAAATACAATAGGGGTTTTGTAGGCTGCCTAGAAGGAAAAAGCAGTGGCTGAAAAGAGATCTGCCCCAGTGCTTTAAAGCTGCACCTCCACTAGCTCCCAGGAAAAGCCAGTCCCTGCTAGTGGCCTATGATCTCACACACATTATGCTCACTTTTGTGCACACTTTCTCATATTAGTTTTGTCTCTGCAGAAAGCTGTAACAGACAAGCAGATAATGTTTCATCATATATTTGGTGAGTGGTGTCCACACACTCTCCTGAGGGCTGTACAAGATGTCCTGGGAATAGAATGGTTTACAGGGGAAAAGAAAGTATCAAAAATTGTGTGTGATGATAAGCCTGGAGGCTGGGGGAGGATGGCATTGCCACATAAGACCCCAGCTGAGAGCGGTGAGGGGCTGCAATGGGTAAGCCCTGGTCCATCACCTGCTGATGCAAAGGTCCCACGACCTAGGGTGCAGGTTGTGGGGACATCCTTGGATGCAGGGTGCTGTGTGCACAGCACCTGCGTTGCTGCAGCAGAATGGCTTTGGCCTGACACCTCTATCAGGTTTGGCTGCAGCCACTGGAGGTCACTGCCGATCTGCAGCTTCACATGCAAAGCCACTTTTGGAGAGGCAGGTAGTAGCCCTGCTCCCAGGTGCTGGCCTTGGGCTGCTCTGCCTCTAACGCTCTGCAAAATCCCTGGGAGCTGGGTGCTTGTCATGTGGGACGTTTTACACCCACTAGGATTAAGATCTGGCACCCCAGCCCTCGCCAATTACTCTGTGTCCCTTGCTCCTAGATGCAAGGACCCTTTGGTGACCCATCATTTCCAGCTGAGCAGCTCAGTGTAGGACCTCCTGGGAAGCATGCTGGCTCCAAAGCAAACAGCACTGCCAAATGCAAAGCCTGTAACTCATGCAAAGGTAGAATTTGAGCAGCTGATTCTTCTCTCATTGTTCTTGTCAAATAACCTGTAGTTAAGTTATAGAAAAGAGCAATGGAAAAAGTCCTAAATGGCAGGTGGGTGCCTCCTGTCTTTAGCTGAGAAGCAAATGCTGAGGCTGAGAGGTTTTGGGTTGAAATAATCCCCCCAGACACCTGGTAGAGCAGTGTGGTTTTGAATGGGAATTAAGGTTTATGCAGGTTTGTAGGTGGTCACAGGAGTGGGGTGGTGTATGCCAGGAGAGGTTACAGCAACTCATGTGGGTGTAAAACGTAGTCTGAGTCAGCCCAAATCCTGACTGTGAGACAAGAGAAGAGGGAAATAATGGGATGCTCCTGGTGAAAGGGTAAAGATGGGGAGCCAGGAGGGGCTCAGAGCTGCTATGAGCAGCTTGGCAAAGCTGAGCAATGCAAGAAGGGTGATACAGGTCCCTCCTCCCATGGTCACACAGGGATCCCCCTGTTCAGACCATAGGGCAATTACTCTCTGTGTCCTTGGGGCCTGCTCTGAGTGAGACTGCTCTGTAATCAGCAGAGCCTTGATGCAGGGGAAGCCCTGATTTTAAGTAAAGTCTCGGGTGGCCTCCAGTACCTTTGCAGAAGTCAGCACAGAGGATAGAGGCAGCATCTTTGGGTACCCATGGGAACCCTCTTGCAGAGCATCCCTAACAGTGCTCTAGGGGTTTCTAAGAGCAGACATAGCCCTCATCTTGCAGCCCTGATGGGGTGTTTAGCTATGCATCCCTGGGGCAGCCTAAATATGGACTTAGAAAGCAGATCCCTGGGAAGCTTTGTCCATGCTGTTCCTGTGCTACAGGAGCTGCTCTCTGCCTCTCTTTTCTTTCCAACTGTGTGTCCAGAAAAGCTAAGTGTCAAACAGAGGAAATATAAAAACACATGCCATTTATTTCTGTACATTAAAGCGCTTGTAATTAGTGTCTTCAGATGGAAAACCAGACAATTTTTTCCCCACAAACCAGGAGATTAAGCACTATGTTGCCAGGCTCATGATAATAAAAACAAAGCTCAATGCCTGTTTTTTTTCCTTAAAATGTAAATTTAATAATTAAAAAAAGGGCTAAAAATATTTAAAAGGCACATTCTTATTGGGAAGGCATGAAGGAATACTGCTTTTTCCTTGTGAGCCTTGATCCAGTGCTGGAAAGATGTTCGGTGGTTGTAGCTGATAGCAATCCAACTTGAGAGAAGAATGCAAAACAGAAGAACAATATTTACTTGAAGCTATTTGTAATTTTCACAAGTGGTCACCAAAAAAAGCCCAGATATCATCAGAAAAGGGAAGCTGCTTTGTCTCTGTTGCAGGAACACTGCCTTCCTGCATGTAGGGTTAAGGCAATCTTATCTCCATCTCTGGCCTCGATTAAAACAGAAGGGGAAAGAAGGGGAACTGCTGTTCAGGCAATAAGAGAGACCAGAGGCTTCTCCATTAATATGTAAACTTTGGATCAAAAAGGAAGATGAGAGACTCCAGATAGAAGCCACCTCTCAATAGATGGGTTTTGAATTTGCATGCACCAGCAAAAGGCACATCTAGAATGTCCTGGCTCCTATAAAGGGGAGGAAGGGATGGGATGGAAGCATGACCCCACTAAACTTTTCCTGTTTGGGTTGAATAATGTCTGCCCTTGAAGGATGTTTACCTAATGTAACGTCTTTGTAATGTTTGTCCAAGCTCTCTGTGACAGATTCTCAAATCCAGAAAGGCTCACGTCAGTCAAGCTTCATCTCTTGCCCTTCGTGGCAAGCAACATGTGTATTTGCCCTGCAGGATAGACTGAGCCACTCATAACTCATTAAAAAAAATAATACTGAAAGGACAGAGAACTTGCCAAACACCTTGCCAGCTTATGCTATGGTTTATGCCCTGCCTGTCTTAGAGAGGGAAAAATTCAAGTGTTGACACTAGATCAGGAAGCAGTCACTGAGGATCTGCATCACAAGGGTGTATGCAGAGCTGCAACGAGATGCATTAATGCCTTGGAGACACCAATGTCTCTTCCCCTTTTCCTTCAGCCAGGTGCTGCTTAAGTCCTCCTATCTCCTTCCAGCCTCCCCCAACAGCCTGTGGATCTCCAGCATTTTTTCCACCTTTTTAAGCTCCATCTTCAAGACAATTCTCCCTGTTTCAAGATGAGGATTGAGAATGCTGGTCCACGCTCTTTAGAAGGGCCTCTTGCAATTTACTACACTGTCTCCTGCTCTCTTTTAACTTTGCCTTCATTTCCCCCATTCTTGGGAAAGCTCTTTGGGCTGCATTCCTCTGCCTTGCTCCTTTTTTGCTCTGAGTGTAAATCTGACCCTCAGTAAAACACAAGCTGCTTTCCCCCTAGCACCACCTTTGCTGCCTGATGTGGCATCAGCCCCAACCCTGGCAACGGAGTGCAAATTCCCCTCAGGAATGAGAAGATAGCCCCAACCTGTGAGGGCAGCTGAGCTGCCTTCATATGAAAATAAATGCAAGCACCTTCAATTAATCCAGAAAGAACATGGAATAGTTGGCAATAGGCTACAAAGCATTTTCTCTTGCTTCTCTGCTTTTCTCCCTGAAGGTTATTCTGGGGCAGTATTGAAAAAAAATTAAACCCCCACAGCTTTTCCAGAAATATTTTTCCGTGTTTCTGGGCAATCTGGCAGCTGCAAAACTCTGCAGTAAAGGAGGGTCATTCACTCCCCTCATGGGGAACCTTCTTCCTGTTGGCTGCAGATGTGCTCCCTCCTGCCTGCTTTGATAAATAGGGAGAAAACATGGAATTTTGGGGTACAGGCTTGTAGAAGGGTTCCTTGGGCTCTGAGGAAGTCATTCATTA